GTTAAGACTGGCTTTCTCCCCAAGGGGTCTGTTGGATTATATGAGGTATGATTCTAATTACATTAAGACTAGCTTCCACAACACGGGAGAATTCACTCGACAAACAATTAAATGAGCCTCTTTTTCTCCTCCCTTAAGACAACTGTGTTTTACATTTCGAAACACACAGTAAATTTAATTGTAGGGCTGGGCTTTATTTGAGAATGTTTGCTTGCTTTTTCAGTTCAACTTTTTAGAATTCAAGTTTTACATGTGTGTCGCTAAATGTTAATTGTAGTTGAGCTATACATAACAGCTGGAAAATTAAAACATGATTTAAGCTGTTAGAGAATATGCCATCCTCTTAAAACACATTTCGCCAGTGTCACATTCGATTAAGAAATTCAAATCCAGTGCCACATTGGATTGCAAGTCCTCTTTGGGGTGAATTTGGTTAGAAGTGTGCACTTGGCCAGTCAGAAGGGACAGGTCAACAGTTTACCTCCCAGAACTCCCTGAAGGTGAGTACTGAATGCATTGTAACTATATCGTCCTGGTAAAGCCGTAATCATTACTCACCAGGATTGGGTGTGTGCCTACCTGGGAGATGCCCGTTTCTATGATAATCACCTACCGACTATTGCCTAATTTCCACCACCTTCCACATGGTCAGGGAAAGAGTTGTGACAACTACTTTGGGGTCATGTCAGTCTCCCTGACCCTTGCCCCACTTGTCTGACAGGAGAACCTGAAACAGCCAGTCTTGTATGAGCAATAGGCCACTGGGGCTGGCGGAGGAGGGGAGGGCAGTGCCGGCCAATCAGAAGCATAGTCAGTGCACGTGGAACAATGAGCTTCTGATGAGGGTGTGGCCAGGAAAACTGTCATTTTATGGGTCAGCTGTAGACAGATAGGGCACCTCTGCTGTCTTCAGAACAATGTCCAGGCCCCTTTGCTGTTTTCTGCACTCCTGAAAGATCTAGTCCCTAATCTAGGCTCTGGCTTTTCCTCGGCCTTGGAGGAAGCGGAGGTATGTGGACGGAGAAGTCTCGGTAGGAAGAAGGGTTACAGAGCTCAAGATGAGGGCAGCCGTCTGGGATGAAGACAGGTGTTGGTGCTTAGAGGAAAGGGAGAAGGCCTGGGGCTAGGAATCAAGGTTCAGCTTGGGTCTATCTCTGAGTCAAGCTTTTGAGCGAGGTTAGAAGCTTGAAGGCTTAAATAGTACCTCCTGCTGTTCGTCCTGGATGCTCTGTTCTTCTAGCTCACTGTCTTTATTTACCTCTTCTGCATCCTCTCACATGATGTCCTCATCAGCCATCAAATAGCAAATGCCTAGCACGTGAAGGGGCGCTAGGAAGATGCTGAGGGGAAACAAAAATATGTAGCACGTGATCTCTAAAGCAGAGAAGCTTACAATTCAGAGGAAGACGTAATAGAAACAGATCACTAGATAATCAAGGATGTTTACATAGAAAATAAGGCACACGAGTTTATAGACACTAAGTGCCCTTATAGCTCAGAGGAAAAATTGCCTTGGCTAGAGTGGTCTGGCAAGCTCTCCTGACAGATAACATCATCCCTTTAAGTTTGGAGTCTCTCCTCCTGTGGACTCATAAAACCTGATTTTATGTATTGATGAAAAATTGAATGAAAACTGAAATCTATTAGAAGTGTCTAGAAGAGATAGGGAAACAAAAATGGATATAATTGATCTTTAATTTCCTTTTCATTTTTGGGTACTGATGAGTTTTCTTTAAGCAGAATGAAGTACACACTCTCCTTCCTTCAGGACACTCTGTCTTGATGTGTCTTTGGGGCCTAGTTCACCTCCCTGCTCTTTCACTCCTTCCTAGATGCTTCCACGCTTCCTCAGTGCCCCTCTCTGTTCATGGTCTATTCTTGACTGATTGAATTGGCCAAACAATCAATGACGGTACCATCGACATGCATTGAAAGTGCTCTAAAATGCATCTTTTCTCTAGGTCATAAACACCCCCAAAGTGTCATAAAACGTATACACGTGGGATGTAGCATGGTATGGTAGAAAGAACATGAACTTTCAAATCCCACAGACCTGGGCTTTCCAGCTGTGTGACCCAAGGTGGATTAATCTCTCTCAACTTCAATTTCTGTGTCTATAAAATAAGGATCAGGCCTACATCACAGTGCTGTTTTGAGGATTAAATGAGGCAACCTATGTAAAATGCTTCACATAAAGAGGTCTCAATAAATTAAAATTACAATGTGACATGTACCTATACAAAGCAAGTATTGTTACTCATTTTCTGCTGTGGCAGAACTTAAAGCAGAAGACTGTCTTCTGAAATAGAAATTTTCTATTGTCTTCTTATGGATGTTCATGAGAAAAACTCTCAGGTGTTCATTTTAGATGTCTTTGCCTCTTCAGCACATGAGCAAATAATTTTCTTGTTCTAGCTTCCCTTCTACATTTGTCATCTTAGTCTCCAAATGTGTCTATTTTCCTTGCCTAGTAATCATAAACTTAGAAAAAACTATCCAAGTTCTCAAATCGCCTTATTTTTAAAACAATGGAATCTTAGCAATCGTCTAATTCATCTTTCCACTCAGTATAAGAATCACACGACAACCTCACAGGCAGGCAGCTGTAGGGCCTCTCACAAGGAAATTCAATAGTTCCTAAGACTGCTCGGTTCGAACTTTCATCCTCACCTTGTTTAAATTTGCCTCCCCGTGATTGCCAGCCATTGATCCTAGTTGATCCTTTTGGAGCAACAAAACATAAATCTAACCCACTTTCCACACAGTGTTCCAACTAAAGCAAAATAGTCTATACTGTGCCTGTGAGGAGGGTGTGATATTGCCAAAATTGGTGGGCTGGAAGTAGGGTTGCTAGATAAAATGCAATGTTAGGGATATATTTATATTGAAAAATTATTCACTGTTTGTTTAAACTCAAGATTTAACTGGCTATCCGATATTTTATTTGCTAAATCTGGCAGCCTTACAAGTGGTAGCCGAAGAGAACAAGGCTGAGATAGTCGATGAGCAGCAGCAGGAGAGGGAAGAACGGTGCTACACCCCTGCTCAGGTCTGCGCAGGCCTATCACAGTTCTGTGGCTGCTCAGCACCGCTGTGGGAGCCTCTTCAGAGCATCCAGGCCTACAGAAACCACGATATCAAGATCACCTACTCTTTGATCAACTAGCTCCCTCCAGTGAGGACAAAGACACCAACTTTCCTTTCCATCTTCAACTCTCTCATGGACTTTATTCTTGCTTAGCCAAACCCAACCCTACCTGAGGGAGAAAGTAGGGGAGTTCTTTTGTTAAATGTGGGGCCCTCCATTAGACTTTGCACAGGGAGCTGTGTCTCCCAGTTACTTCACAACTCTCACATTTCAGTTCAAATATTTGAAGACAAATACCATTTTCACCCAGATGTCATCATCTCCTGACAACATTTCCAATCTCTCCCATCACACCTCATGTGCCATAGTCAATGACCCTCAGTTAAAGTGGGCAGATTTGATTTGATCAGATTTGAACACTGCTTATATACCTTAAGATTGCATTGCATCCAAATGGCCAATAGACATGTGAAAAGGTGCTTAATTTCACTAGTAGCACCAGGGAACCACAAAACCACAGATACCACCACTCGCCTACCAAGATGTTTAAAATTTAAGAAGACTAACAAGAGCAAGTGTTGGCTGGGATACAGAGCTTCTGAGCTCTCATATCTTGCTTGTGGGATATAAATTGGCACAACCACTTTGGAAAACTGTTTAGCAGGATCTACTAAAGCTTAATATATGTATATCTTATGACCCACCAATTCCACTCATAGGTATATGCCCAAGCGAAATGCGTACATACGTTCACCAAAGTACATGTACAAGAATGTTCTTAGCAGCATTATTACTAATATCCTAAAACTGGAAACAACCCACAGATCAATAGTAGAATGGATAAATACTGTGTGGTATAATCGGGTAATGGAATACTGTACAGCACTGAAAACGAACAATTGATATACACACAACAACACAGATGAATATCACAGACATTTGAGGAAAAAAACCCAAAAGAATATACATAGTATGATTCCATTTATACAAAGTTTAAAACTGGTAAAGGTGATCTGTGCTGTTGGAAATCTGGAGAGAGGTTACCTTTGGGCAGCAGAGAGGGGGAGTGACTGAGAGACGGCGTGAAAGGGGCTTCTGCAGTGCTGGTGATGTCCTCTTTCTTGATGTGAGTAGGGATTACATGGACTTGTTCACTTTATAATAATTCATCCAGCAATACTTTTATGAATTGTGCATTTTTCTGCACATATGCTTCAGTAATAAAGTTTTTTAAAAGATAGCATTGAGGGGCCAGCCTGGTGGCACAAGCAGTTAAGTGCGCAAGCGCTCCGCTATAGCGGCCAGGAGTTTGCTGGTTCGGATCCTGGGCGCACACCAACACACCACTTGTCAAGCCATGCTGTGGCGGCGTCCCATATAAGTAGAGGAAGATGGGCATGGATGTTAGCCCAGGGCCAGTCTTCCTCAGCAAAAAAAAACAAGGAGGATTGGCAGATGTTAGCTCAGGGCCGATCTTCCTCACAAAAAAAATATAAAAAGATAGCATTGAATTTGCAGTAAATCTAGTTTTTCACACCACGTGCTTATGCATATGACTGTGTTAAAATTCTAAATATAGCACTTTGCATTTATTCTGAAGTTTCATTGTTATTTCAGTCAATGAAGATATTTTAAGATCCTGATTCTGTCATTCAGTGCATTGGCTCTCCCTTCTACCTAAATCCTCTAGCCCACCCATGGAGGCCTCTCTCTGAGTGGACACTAGAATGCGAATCAGTATCCTTTAGGGAGGATTGTTAACCAGCTAACTATATTTTTATCAATCCTATAATTTTGTATCTTATCCACAAAGATGTGAGACATTTGGCCAAATGTCTTGCTCAGGTCAAGATATACTTTATCTATAGCGTTCTCTTGATTTAAAAGTTTAATAACTTTTCAAAGAAGGAAATAAGGCTGGTTTGTTCTTGGCTCTGAACCCATTTTGACTCCTTTTAATCACCTCTTGCTGACCTAAGTGCTCACATGTTATCTAGTATTTGGACTATGACAAATATTGCAGCTGTCTTTCCACTGCACACATGGTAGGACTGCACGTGCCCACTCACCTGAGATTAACTGTGTCTGCACAACTTGCTTTGGCCAATGTACTGTGAGTGGAAGTAAAGAGTGTCACTTCTGGGAGAACACTTGAAGAATGAGTCTGCCCCTTCGAGTCCTCTTTTCCCACTGTCTTGGCAGCCAGAATGTCCCAGGCTGGGTCCCAAAGTGAAGGCAGCAATGGAGCTGAGCCTCTGCCAACCTACAACGGACACGGAGCATGAGCAAGACATGGACAAAAAACAAGCCTTTCTTATTCAAGCCACCAAGGTGTGGAAGTTATTTGTTAATGAAGCATAACCTAGCTTGCATCGATTGATACATCGTATTTACCAGTCCATGTGTTCTGGAATCCACACGTAGCCTCCTCTTTTGAAAATCAGAAGAGAAGGTGCCCATCTCTGGTTTTCCAGCCCACCTCTCATTCTTCCTTGAGATTACAGACATTTCATCTGTCAGTTCTTTCATACTTGTGGATGTAGCTTATCTGGGGCTGGCTACTGGAATTTATTTAAAGTGCCCGGGGGTTTTATCACCACTTTCCTATTTTGGACTTCAATTCCTTCTTAGCAATATTTATTATACTTTTCAATACTCCACAGTGGAGAAGGCAGAAACAAAAGAGGAGTGTGTAGTACATCATATTTAAGCTTAGTCTTTATTTCTCTTTTATTCATTCCCTTGTTTTCAATAAAGTCAAAAAAATCCCTCTAGGTTTTCTTAACTTCTCCCTTATTCCTAAGTCTCAGCTCATTCTGGGCGTTCAATTTTCTCACACCCTTCTTATAAGTTCATATAACACTTACCAAATTCACTATCTGAAATGATTTACTTGCTATCTGTTGGCTGTTCCTGGTATATGCTGGGGTTTTTCTTGAGTTTTTAGGCTCCCTTTTTTTTTTTCAAACTTAGTTGCATGTTTCTCTATCTTTTGTTCACTTCTTAACATTTGCATTTGCCAGGGCTTTTCCTTTTAGAGGTTATTTAATACCTCATATTTAGTACTCAGTTTTAAAGGTTTCTATACGTTTTAAAGTTTGTCTGTTAAATATACTAATGTTTTCCCTGATTTTTTTTAAAAAATGCTTTCCTAAGTCTAAGATATCTATCAACTGTCTCACTGTTTCCTTCTGACACTCCGTCCCAATATGGCCTCTCTCTGGTTAAAATGACTGACCAGGTGCTCCCCGTGGGTCAGTAGCAGTTGCTCTTTTTCTCTGCATCACCCATCCCAGGAAGCTGGATTGCTCTGAGAAAGTGGAGGACGCTATTCCTCTTCAGGTGGGAGAGCATGATTTGCACAGCATTCAAGCGTGAGCATTTAATCCGCCCCAGCCGCTAAAGGAAGGCTTTGGGAGATCCTAAGTTTCCTCAGAACTAACTAGGTAGCAAATTAAAATTTCAACATTTCCTTCCACTTACAGTTTAAAGCCTTACACACACCTTTGAATTCTTTCCCTCTATTTGTTTAAAACTCTACCTTAATACACTTAATCGCTTGCTTATATATAATACTCCACTTTGCTACTCACCTTTATATAAATATTCACAGACATAAACTCACGTCTACGCTTTAATTTTCAAAAAGGAGGGAGCAAAGATGAGAGACCAAAAGGGAGGTGGAGGGGAAGAGGAAACCCGAGGACAGGAGGACAGGGTCCTAGACCAAGTGTCAATGCTGCTGGCCCCTCTACACCAGGAGTTGCACGTGGAGGGCTTACCCCTTCATGAAAACGGGTGGACCCATTCAGCTACCTTCTTTTACCCCAACCTGTCATAATTGTGCTCGTTTATGCAACAGCTGTTCAAGGTGGGAGGCCTAGTTTGTGAGGGGTTCCCCTCTGAGTAGAAAATTCGCCCTTTTGGAGTATGACTCGACAACTCAGGCATTATCCTCACTCAGTCATCACTGAAATAAGCAGTCCACAGGTTAGAACAAAGCAAATGGAGAGAAATAAATAGGAAAGTGAGTGAATGACTATAAGTCAGATTTCCTCCATTCTCGGCTTTTATTTCTAGCAGGTCTGTTAGGGGACTGTTTGCTGTGACCATAAAGTCCTGAACATTTGCCTTGAACATGAACACTCGAAGAGAAGAATCTCAGGACCAGGCCATCATCAGAATAGCAGCTCATTTACCGGACCTCATTGTCTATGGAGATTTCTCCCCAGAGCGGCCTTCTGTGGATTATTTTGATGGAGTCTTGATGTTTGTTGATATTTCAGGCAAGCACAAAAGGGATGTTTAACGTAGGTGAACAGCAGGCTCGCATCAGAGTCACACGCACAGCTTGATTGCAGAGTGGAGCTGCCGTTTTCAGCTTTTGCGCTGTTACAGCAGGTATTCCCACTGAGAAAACAGCCTGTGGACCGAGCTTTCTCTCACCTTCCCTTACCCAGCATGTCCAGTCTGGGTAAATGTTTAAAGATACCCAAGTTCCACGCGTGGAACGTCAGGCCCCAGTGTCCCTGCCCAACTTCACTGACTCAAGCCCCTAAGCCCCACACACGCCCCAGGCAAAACTGACCTCAGGAAATGGTCTCCAGGTGTTGTTTACATCTTGACAGTCAACTTGTCAGCTCTTCAGAAATGTTGGAGTTTTGTGTGTTTTTATTAGCATGGAATGGAAGTTCTATACCCAGTTAAAGGAGCCACAGTCATCCCTGTACAAATTGAGAAATTTGGAGGCACATTTCCCTGACCCCTAACATAACAAACTTAGATAGAGGAGGCTGCATATCTGACACTTGACCAGCCACAAAGACCATTAAGAAGAAACCCTGCCAGTTCTTAAAAGCTGAGACCCACTGCCCTCCAGTGTGGTCCTCTTCTCCTGGCTCTGTTTGGTTCCTCCAAGCAGCCAGGGAGATGAGCTGCGCATTTATTACAGGTTTTACAGCAATGACGGAGAAGTTCAGCACAGCCATGTACATGGACCGAGGGGCTGAGCAGCTGGTGGAGATCCTCAACCGCTACATAAGTGCCATAGTGGAGAGTGAGTGTCACTGGGGACTTCTGGCTTAAGAATGTTTCGGTTCATTGTTTTCCAGTATTTGTTGGTTACAGCCTGCTAGAGTACTCTTGCTTAGCACTCTTCACTTTCCCCATGAAATGTGTATGAAACCAGTCTTTTTTGACTGTAATACAGTATGAGTGAAGGAATGTAATCAGACATCGCTAATACAGACGATTTAAAGGAAAGAAGGCTTGGCGTTAGTTAAAAGGCCAAAGTAGAGACTACTTTTAAAAGAACTGTGGTAGTCATACTTTTGGTTATATTCAATAACTCAAAGGAGCCAGCATCACTATAACCCAAACAGTCAGGAAGAGAAGGCTGTCTGAATAGATGAGTGGTTTATAATTAACTCCGCAGTGATTTGTCTCCTGATGATGGATTCTGAAGCACTTACAGCTGACTGCAAAGTCTGGTCTCCTTTCCAACCTCTGCCTAACATCTTGTTGCATTATTAATTTGAACTATTCATGAAGAAAAGGACTTACTCTATTAAGGTCAACTTTAGGGCCAGCCTTTTATCAGGCTCTAAGTTCTCTCATAATATCTTAATACCACCCACTAGACAAAATTTGTTACTCCTTAACAGCAGAAACTGTATCTAATTCCTTTTTGCATGGCATTCAGCACAACAGTGCTCCACGAATTTGTGATGATGCATAGGTAAGAGAAAAAAATGTCCATTTATGTCATAAAGCCTAAATAAGCAAAATGCAAGTTGGTAATAAACAAAACCCAGGTTGAGCATACTTGCGGTTTCCCAGTTTTCTGATTCTCAGTTTTTAGGGAGTCCTGTCACTCGTCCACTCGCCCACCCTCACTCGAGCCCCAGCTCATGACATGTATTGACCAGCAGAAAGCGTTCCATTATCATGGGAGCAGAGTAGCTGTCCTCAGGCCTCACAGAAATCCCCCCTCCTCTTTCCCATCTTTCCACTCACAGAAGCGGAGCAGGTGCATAATCCAGTCAATGCCCTCACTGTACAGTCGAGGAGACAGACTCAGCTGGGCTGCAGTGACTCGTCTGAGATGACGTCTTTAGTATAAGTCTCTTCTCTGAATTGCTGTTCTCTTCACTAATTCTATTCCACTGATGAAGAAGGAATTCTTCTTATCAGCTTTAAGAAATCAGAATTTGATTTAACTTATTTTCTTATTTTTCCAGAAGTGTTGATTTTTGGAGGAGACATCATAAAATTTGCAGGTATGGGGTTTCCTGAGACGGGAGGGTAAGAAAGGAGGGCTGAGCTGCCTGTGCGCTGGGAAAGGCGGCATCTCAGGGAGAGCACTGGCCTGGAGACCGGGCTGAGGAATGTTTGAGGAACTCTCTGAGCAGATTTCACACAAAATAGACTGATCCACAGGGCAGGTCGAGAGCCCCCACCCCGGTGTACCTGTCTCTTCAAGGTGACGCACTGCTGGCCCTGTGGAAGGTGGAGCGAAAGCACCTGAAAGACATCATCACGGTGGTGATTAAATGCAGCCTGGAGATCCACGGGTTGTTTGAGACGCAGGAGTCTGAAGAAGGCCTGGACGTCCGGGTCAAGATAGGTAAGCTTTTGAGAAAGAAGAGGTGCTACAGCAATCTGAACATGGGTCCTGACTCCTGAGGCATCTCTCTCCCAGAGAAAACAGTGGAACATAGTGGCTCAGCCCACCATCGTGGCTTCAACTTTGGAATTAGGCTAACCAGAATGTGGATTTTGGCTCCCTCATTACCAGTTAAGAGAATTCAGGCAAATGCTAACATCTACCTCATAGGCTCTTACAAAAAGTAAATTTAAGTTGTTAGTATAGTACCTGGCACATAGTAACCACTCCACAAAAAGTCTTTACTGTTACTACCATTGTTGTTATTATTAGGTCTTGCTGCTGTCCACAATGTGTATCAGTAAGTACAATGGAGAGTAGCTAGTGATTACATGGATGCAGCAGTGTCATAAGACTGGTCATCCCCCACTTCATAAAAATGATGTTCGAGAAGAGCTGAAGGGGCAGCCCGCAACACAGCTCCAGCTTCACAGAGGGCTTCTTCAGTTCATGTGTAGAATAGCAATCACGTGTTTCCATACTGTGGTGCAGGCATTACACGCATTATGTCATTTTCATTTCACCGAAGTCCTGAGGTGAAGGCATCGTGGTATCCATTTCACAGGTGAGGAAGGAGACTGAGAGGTGCAAATGAGGAGTTATAGTTGGTGCTGTTGCTGTTAGCTTCTGCCTGACTAAACTGTGTAAACTTAGAATTCTGAAGTGTCAGAATTATCCAATTAACTGTTTCTCAGCTTTCTTTAGGTTATTCAAAATTTCCAAATAAGTTAAATCTTCTGTTGAAAAAAATCAAAGTTGTTGTAATACTAATATCTTTTCCAAGTTAACACCTAGAGAGTCTGGTGTATTATCCTTCTTGAGACTGATGGGGCCCAAACCCTTCATGTGCATGCTGATTGGTTGTCACAGAGGTGGTGCCAGGACCTTTTCCTTAATGAGTCTAAGCATCAGTGGGTTTCAGAGGGAAAACAAACCATATCAGGGGAAATCATCCTTGACAGATAAGCAGAGAAGAGAGCAAAGATAAAAAACAAGTTTTGGTTATGTTAACACAGTCATTTAAAAGAACCATGTGTCACTTACAGTTGATTTCTACATACGTTTTATGAACATGTCCTATTTTACAGCATTCTGTCTTCTTTTGCTCTGGTACCAAAACCTTCAGCTCCCAACTTGAAAACAGTGTGAGGCCACATTGTTAGGATGGGACACCTACCTGTCAAAGGGCCTGCTCCTCTTCCCCCTCCTTTTCTCCTCTGGCTGTTACCTGAAATTTGACCTTAAGGGAGTTTTTTTTTTTTTTTTTTTTTGTTGAGGAAGGTGGCCCTGAAGCAATGTTGTGACTGGAGTTCACTCTTTTCTTCGGAAGACCAGCCCTGAGCTAACATCTGATGCAAATCTTTTTTTTTTTTTTTTTTTTTTTAGTTAAAGCCTCAACTCTGATAAAATGCAAATCCTCCGCAAACAGAAATCATTAAAATTTTTCTGTTATTCCCTGTTGCCCTTAAGTATAAACAAATGGGAGAAAAGATAAAATAACTGTGGGGACTGATAGGGCCATCTAGGGAGATAAATGTCACAGAAAGGTGAAAACTAGTAGCCAGCTTCCTAGCTTTGGGAGAAGAGGAGTTTGGACAGGCCTGGGCCCAGATTCCCATGTAAAATTTTAGAAACGAGATTTTGCTTTGAGCTACTACAGTCACGCCAAGACTCTGATTTTTCTAAGACCGCGTGCTGCTGGGGAATAACCCAGAACCCCCTGTACAAACCCACTGCTTGCCTTCTCGCCAGGACTGTCTGCCGGCCACATCACCATGTTGGTCTTTGGGGATGACACACGCAACTACTTTCTGGTGATGGGTCAGGCAGTGGATGACGTGCGCCTCGCACAGAACATGGCGCAGATGAACGATGTCATTCTGTCACCAAACTGCTGGCAGCTGTGTGACCGGAGCATGATTGAAATTGAGAAGATCCCAGATCGGAGAGCAGTGAAGGTAGGGGGGATGCTGCCGCTGCAGGAGGTTCTGCCGGTCTGCGCCAGGCCCTGTCCGGAAGGCCGCGGGGCTCCTGGACTGGAGACTCGGGTGGCTCAGTCTGGGTTAGACGTACAAGGCCTTCGTCCAGAGGCCTCCTCTGGAAGAGCCCAAGCCTGGTGAACTCAAGAGGAAATGTTCAGGCTTCTCTGTGGTGACTAAGGATGTGAGATTTGGGTATTAGGCCTTTTGGGGAGCTGGTGTCCTTGCTTAAAAAATAGGAAGGGCCTCTGGACTATCCCCTGGGGCAGAGGGTTGTAGTTTTGAGGGCTGCCATTTCCCTCACTTTCCCTGCTCGACGCCCTCCTACCTTAGGGCGAGGGGTCTCTGAGTGTGAGGATTGGAGGCAGGCGGAGCAGCAAAGTCTAGTGAGGGAAGAGACTGCTCCTGTAGCTTTGCCTAGTGGAAAACCTGGTTAAGTTGAACACTGACTGCAAGCAGAACAGTCTTTGTAATATGGCCAATTAGAGAAACTGTGTTTTGAGAGCGTGTAAAGGGGAGGAGAGCGCTGCTAGCTGAACCAGGAACGGGACTGCAGGGCACACGGAAAGAAAAGATGGAGAATCCACGCAGACGCTGGCAAAGATGAGAGGCCCTCCTACACTGCCTCAGTCTACAACCCTCACACCCCTCCGGTACAACACTCACACTCTCTCTTCCTGTGCTACACATCCAGGCTGCGTGACCCAGCCAGCTGATCACAATGCCCTGTTTCCCAGCTTCTTCAATCATTCCTCTGCCTTTAAAAATTGTTTTAATTTTTAATTAATTTTAGACTCACAGAAAAGTTCAAAACTAATAGAATTTCCATATTTCCCTTGCCCAGATTCCCTGGGTGTTAACATCTCTCATAAGCAGTGTGCAACAGTCAGAACCAGAACGTTAACGTTGGTCAATACTTTCCCTAGTTAGGGGCCTTATTTGGGTTTCACCAGTTTCCCCACTAATGTGCTCAGTGGGCGCTCCAGCGTCTCTCCATGATCTCATGCCACACTCTGCTGTCATTTTCACTTAGGCTCCTGCAACCTGTGACAACAGTTCTTCAATTTTTCCTTCTCTTTTATGACCGTGGCTCCAGGAGGAGTTATTTTGTTGACTGTCCCTCCGTTTGGTTCTGCCTCGTATTTCCTCATTATTGGACTAAGGTCATCCACTTTTTGGGCAAGAATACCAGAGAATGAGGCTGCGCCGTTCTCCATGTGTCGTGTCGTGGGGTTCGTGATCTAATATGAATCTTATTACTGGTGATGTTCCTCAGACCTTTTGGGGCATCAGCCCCCTTTGTCCTTTTAAACTTATAAGAAAGAAACGGTGTACAGTTTAACCAGGTTTTATTTGAATTAAAATGTTAGGAAGGAAAAAAAAAAAAAGAGGGTTCTAAGAGTGGAAAAGTATATAGATTAGCCCCCTGGAACGGCCCTCTGATACATAGGAAGATTGAGATGTTAACGACTAATTGGAGAAATTGTTAATGTAATCACATCCAAATTAAAGATCTTCATTGTTTAAGTATGCCAGTCTCTGTTGATCGTGTCCAGGACATTCAAAAACATACTCCCTGCCCTTTCTGTTGAGAAATTACGTTCCAAGGACCAGACAACCCTCAGAATAACCAAAAACTTCTCTCTTTTTTTTTAATTTAGGTTAATTTCTTAAAACCACCCCCTACTTTTAACTTTGATGAGTTTTTCACAAAGTGTATGACTTTCATGGATTATTATCCTTCTGGTGACCACAAAAGTAAGTACCCTCCGTACTCCGACAGGAGCCTTTGCCTCTACCAGTGTAGAGGTGTAGTAGGGTCTTACGCCAATGCCAAGGGTTGTATTACAAGTGACGGCCTCCTCAATACAGCTCCCTGTCCTTCGCACACACACAGAGGACCTCCCTCTCGTTCCCCACAAGAGCAGTGCTAAGCACAACCCTCCTCGGGCCCTCTCCCCCTCCCTTGGCAATGACTCCTTTCTCGCGTCTTCCAAACATTTATAAGACTCTCCCATGCTAAAAGAAAAAATGAAACTTCTATAAACCCTACTTTCCCCTCCTAACCTTCACCAACAAACTTCTCAAAAGAGTAATCTGTATGTCTGTGCCTCTTCGTCTATCCTCTCGTTTATTTATTCACCCAATAAACATTGATTGCATGTGCCTCAGGGGACATGTGCTCACCTGCTTTTCAGTCTTGAGCCCCTGACATCTAGCTTCTATCCACCTCTCCTCCTATGTATTGAGACTGTTTATGTCAAGGCCACTAATGGCCATCAGCTTGCCAAACAAGTGACCTCTCCTCAGGCCTCATCCTAGGTGGTTGGCCTTAGATTACTCTCTTTTTCTGCACACTACCTTCTCCTCTTTCCTTGGGTTCAAGAATATTCTTGCCTAGTTTTGCTTTTACCCCTCAAACCATCCGTTTTCAGTGCCCTTGGCTTTGTCTCCTTCCCATTCGTTAAATGTTGGTGAGTCCAGAGATCTCTCCTGGGCCCTCTAGTCTTCCCTGCTCACCTATTGCAGCATGCTTGTTCCATGCCTGACTTCCCTGTGACTCCCAGGGCTGGGACCAGGCTGAGGAAAGCAGGAGCCTAGGGCACGAAGTGTAAGGAGGCACTGCTCTCAAGGTTTGCATGTTGCCCAGCCCTAACTGCCAGATTTCAGCCCTGACTTGTGTCCTGAATTCTAGACTCATAGAATCTAGAGCTCTGGGCTGTCTTCACTGGACATCCAACAGGCACTCCAACATGAACATGTTGTTAAAAAATGATTAAAGAAGACATTTTAGGTGATACAAACAAACTGTATTTAACACTTCATAAAGTGGACAGTCTCCTTTCAGAGAACAAGATGGGGTAGAAGAGAAGAAGCTTTTATAGGATGAAAAATAAAGAAGAAGGAAGAGACAAATAGAGAATATCTGATTGGCTGGGGCCACAGAGTCCTTGTTTGGGGTGAGAAGGCCCAGAGTTGGCTTGGCGTTTGGGGACTGGCTGACTGGATATTCTGCATTTCTGGTCAAGTGGAGCATTCACAGGGATGTGAAAGTCCTCCAACTTTCAATTTGCTGAGGTGGCACCTGGGCAGGGAGAAGCTCCATCTTGGGCCTAGAAATTTATTTCAACAATGTCTAAACTCTAAGCTATTTATCTTTCCCTAAAAACTCTTTCCTCATCCAAACTAGAAACTTCAGAAACATCTTTGAATGATTCTTCTTGTTGCCAAAAACCAAGACCTTGTCACTGTAGCCGAATCAATGAACACAACAAGGGATTGAGGAAAAGAAAGGGAAAATTTAATAATTTGCTAGCAAATGAGGATGTGGCCAGCTTTTGCCCCAAAACTCCACTGTCCTCCCGAAGCACTAGCAGTTAGGGTTTTTAAAGGGAAATTCATGGGAAAGAATGTGCTGTCTACGTGACCGCAGACACCTGGTGGGGCAGTTATGTGAGGGTCCCGGACGAGGGTCCCAGGTGTTCTGGTGCCGCAACAGCTGGTATCTTCATCTGCAGCAGGAGGTCCCGTTTTCCATCCATCAATCCTCCTGTGTCACCAGAAACTGGGCCCTGGGGGAGAACGGACACTGATGAAGATAATTGTAGGTGATAGTGCATAAAGTTCCAGTTAAGGAGAAAAGAAAAAGAAGAAAGGAAAGAAAAGGTTACAGGACTTTTTCAGGTTTTCTTCTGTTACATTCTCTCCCATCATTTCTGTATAGGTCTTGAATATTTTGAACATTACAAATGGTAATTTGTACTTTCACAAAGCTGCAATAGGTAATGGGGTGGGAGGGGAGCCCGGGGAGGAACTGTAGGAAAACTGACCAGGATAGGCCAAGAACCCAAGAGCTCCAGAGATGGATAAAGTGGACTGACACTCCTTGAGCACTACTCCATGCCATCTCCTAGATCTTAATGATGCCTTCAACTAAGGGCTTCTTCAGGCCTTATTTGGGGCACCTTAATACTGCAATGCAATTCTGGCACTAAATTCCTGGAGCTGGTACAGATTTCGTAGGTTGAGTCCTCCACAAACTCCCCTCACTTCAGACACCGGCCGCAAGCTCTGGGATCATCAGGCTAGCTGCACTTCTGACAAACTGGGTAAATCCAAAGGTTCCCACAGTGCCCTCAGGGTCAATAATTTGCAGTGATGACTCCCAGAACTCAGGGAGTGCTACGCTTATGATTATAGTTTTATTGTAAAGGATATAAACCAGGACAAGCCACATAAAGAGACACATAGGGTGAGGTCTGGGAGAGTCCCAAACATGAAGCTTCTGTATCCTCAGCACACATCTCCCTCCCTGCACATCCGTGTATTGTTACCAACCAGGGAAGCTCGCCTGAGCTTTGGGTGTCTAGAGTTTTTATTGGGATTTTATTAAAGAGGCATGATTGAACTGAATCATAGGCCACATGGTTGAACTCAATCTTCTGTCCCCTTTCCCTCCTCAGAGGTCAGGAGGTCAGGCTCTTATCACACAGCTCAAAGCCCCAACCCTCTCATCACATGGTTGGTCCTTCCAGTGTGACCAGCCCCCATCCTGAGTCATCTAATTAGCATAAATTCAGGTGTGGTCCAAAGGGCCCACCATGAATAAGAAAGACCATCCTATTACTTGGAAAATTCCAAAGATTTAGAAATTACCTCCCCGGTACCAGGAACAAAGACCAGCCAAATTCTTTATTCTACAACTGGCTCACATCCATCTCCATAACCATTGCCACTGTAATGGTCTGGGCTTTACAACTCCCGCTCTCTTCCTGAGCTCCTGTCCTCTCTCCACAGTCTGTTCGTTGTCATTCCTTCTTAGCCTCCATACTCCATACTCCATTCCTTCTTAGCCTCCATACTCACATGAGATTCCAGCCAGGCTAGAGTCTTGAACAGTCCTTTAACCTACTGTGTGTGTTCTTGACTGTAACCTACTCAGTTCCCCCTGCTGGGCATGCCTTCCTCAATCCTTCTAGTAAAATGTGGTAAGTCATTCAAGATCCAGTTAAATTTCTAGTTCTGCTGTGAACTCCTTGCTGATTAAACCAGCTCATAATGACCACTGCTTCCTCTGAATCTCTCTGGTCCTTATGTTCTGTTAGCCCATTTGCCTAACTATTTTTTTCTATTTAACTTTTCTTTACATGTTACTTTTGAATGTTCAATGAGTAAGTGCCTCCAGGAAAAAGCCCGAGTTTCCTAATTCCTTTTTATTCCCACATAGTGCCTAGAATGGTGTTTTGAATATACTCAATAAACACTTGAAAATTAAATTTGCTTCTTAATTTATATCCCTCTCAGACTCCATTTTTGTTTTTCATTTCATTTTTTTTCCACATTATCATTATTCTATTCCCTGCTGGAAACCTATCATCATTTCTTTCTCCCTTATTTATTATTTTTTTTGTGAGGAAGATCGGCCCTGAGCTAACATCTGCCAATCCTCCTCTTTTTGCCGAGGAAGACTGGCCCTGGGCTAACATCCGTGCCCATTTTCCTCCACTTTGTATGGGACTCCATCACAACATGGCCTGACAAGTGGTGAGGCAGTGCGCTCCCAGAATCTGAACCCTGGGCTACCACAGCGGAACACATGCACTTAACCGCTTGCGCCACTGGGCCGGCCCCTCTCCCTTATTTTTTGATTTCTTCAAGCTCATTCCTTCCACCTGCTAGCAGTTATTCCAGAGTGTGGAACTCTCAACCATTATAGTGACAGGGACCATAGGGATAAGGAAATCTCATTGCTTTCTTCCCAGATGAGGAAATTGGAGACAAGCAGGCAGTGAGGTGACTTGTCCAGGGTCACACAGTGAGTTGGTACCAAACCTGAGATCAGAAACCAGTCTCCTGAATCTTACTCCTGCTGCTCTTTCAACTCTATCATTCCTTTCCTTCTGTCACCATCGTCCTCTATTGTCATCCCCTCATCTGTCCATTCCCATCACCTGTGGCAATCGTTTTAGCTCAAGTCTGGAGGTAAAAATCTCCCCAAGTTCCAAAGCGTGGTGACAGTTGGAACAGGGTTTTGAGCTACATGGTACTGAATTTTGGGAAACCAGCAACCTCTAAGAACTTCTCATTGGATTTCCCTTGGCTCTGTTTGGCCACTAGGTGTCCTAGAGTCCCTTGACTGAACTGTGAAGACCACTGCCAGAGGGAATGGGGACTGGGAGCCTCCTCTCCCTGGCACTGCAGAGCCCAGCCTTTCTGAGCCTGCCCCTCCTTCTGCCCTCTTAGAGCTCCTGAGGCTTGCGTGCACGCTGGAGTCGGATCCTGAACTAGAGTTGTCCCTACAAAAGTATGTGATGGAGAGCATATTGAAGCAGGTATTTTCATAGTTTTATTTGTTGGCATTTGGGGTGTCGGAGATCTTGGACAGCTGGAAAGATGAAGAAAACCAGTAGCTAGAAATAAAAAGAGGTAGAGCTGACATTCTCCATGTGTAGGTGACTATAAAATTTATTGTTCAAAACAGGATACTTTTAAGAGTTAAAGGGGGCATTATTCATAATTACACTGTGACAACAGGCATAAACTAGGACTGTGTTGCCTTGTACAGCTGGGCAAACTGTCCCAAGTGTATAAGAACTTATGGTTACCCTTCCTATATGCCACATGGCAGAAAACTATCAAGTGGATGAGCATTGGTACACTGTTTCTCTGAGTCACTTGCATTAGATCTTAGGCTTTGAAAGTTAACAATGCAGATAATTCGAACTCTCAGAACTACCTCCAACCACAAAAGTTTCCCTTTTAATTTGCTTAGATCTAGGCTCTCTCAAATGTATTAATCCGTGTGAATTATAACTATTTCTCAGCACTCACCATATGCCAGACACTCTACTGTTTCATGTATTTATTCTTCACCGTCTTCAGTAGACATCTTTATCCTCATTTTATATATGAGAAAACTGAGACCCAGAAAGATGCCAGGAACTTTCCTGAGGTTGTAAAGTAAGAAATGTAGCTAGGATTCTATCTGATCCTTACATTTTTTGCACAGGCTATACGCACTCGTAATATACGCTTGTTTTAATCCTTAATCTCATCAAAATGCAGTTGTGCCCTGGAGAAATTCTTTGTAGCTCAAGCCTGACCAGTGGATAGCTGCCTTCACGGTGTGTTTTGAAGAGGTATCAGAATGCGCCCCTCCACCTTCAGCCCAATTTAAAAACACTCCCTCTAGTGCCTGCAATTGTTGGACTCTCCAACATTTTTTTTTTAATAATTTTTTTATTATTATTTATTTATTTTTTCCCCCAAAGCCCCAGTAGATAGTTGCATGTCATAGCTGTACATCCTCCTAGTTGCTGTATGTGGGACGCGGCCTCAGCATGGCGGGAAAAACGGTGCGTCGGTGCGCGCCGGGGATCCAAACCCGGGCGCCAGCAGCGGAGCGTGCGCACTTAACTGCTAAGCCACGGGGCGGCCCTCTTCAACATTTTTGAAGCTCAAGAAAGCTACCCCCTTCTTCCCTCCCTCCCTTCTAGAGAAATAATACATTTTGCTTCTTCAGCTGCAGCCAGCTGAGAGCCAAGTCTATAGGAATGAGATACAAGAGAGTCTCCGTGAGTCATTGGGAAAATTGTGGGTAGGAATAATGAACATCGAGTGAAGAGATAACTGCTAAGGGGGCTGAAAGGAGGCAAAAGACAAACCTTTCACAACTTTATCAAGGCCTGCCCTTGCACTCAAAGAACAGAGATCCTTAGAGATATTATGGTTGCATTTTCCAAGCCAAAACCCAGAACACACGGTCCAATAGAATAATTTATAATTAATTAATTTGTTCAATAGATTTAGTATTTAATAATTAATATTTTATTTATTTAATATTAATTACTTATTTAATAGATTTGTTTGAAAAGTCAAAGAAAATCACTATATTGGTTAGTTAGAAATTATTAAATTATCTTTTATGAAAAGAATCAAATTACATGAAACCAGGACTATCCTAGCCAGTTAGGAAGCATGGTTGCAGGATTTCTTACACACGATTGATTTCCCCTTTCATCTAGAAAATGTGTTTCGTATTGCCAATGGAGAATCTGACACTCTTGTGCTGTTTGGGGGAGAAAATAATGCAGTGATTTGCCCCCATTGGTTTGCTATGGACTTAATTTAACAAGATTCAGGGATGATGATAGGCAGGGATAGTTTGGGAACACTTTCCTCTCCTTCCCTGTGCCTCTTGTGGGTAGGCTTGGAGAGAGGAGGCAAACCGGATGAAATATACCACCCCAGAGAGGCAGGGGCGTGTGGTAGATGGAATGTCAGACTAGGAGCCTGGAGATTTGGGTTCTAGTTTGCTACTGTCTCCCTGTATGACCTTGGGAAACTTGTATTATTTCTCCATGCCTCAGTTATCTAATCAGTAAAATGGGGTAATCTGATTTCATTTCATTTGAAGATAAAGTGGGATAGAATGTGGAAATATTCCAGAAGGTACCAGGTTATGAAAATATATGGTTGAATTACACAGCGTGCTATTCTTATCCCTAAATCATAAGAGAGCCAAAAGGAACAGTGGTTCTTTCTCTTATTGTGATGGCTCCTGTTGGCGTGAGGGAGCTAGCAGTTGGGGCAAGGGAGTGGCTGCTGGTGAAACATTAGCAGTACGTCAATTCCCATTGGAAGAGATTTTGATAGTGCGTTCCATTGCCAGCTGCTCGACTTGGGGCTGCCTCTGTCGTGTTGTTCCTCACACATTCCAACTTCAGCTTCCCCAGAGAATCTCAAAAGGCTGGTTCCCTCCCGGGGATACTTTCGGGTGTGGGGTGGGCGTGGCGTTGTGAGGAAGGATTTGCTGCCAAGGACACCCGCTAAGGAAAGCTTCTCTCTGCTTTGCAGATTGATGACAAACAGCTTCCGGGTTATTTGTCTGAGCTTCGCCCGGTGACAATTATGTTTGTGAACCTGTTGTTTAAGGACCGAGAAAAAGCAGAAGTCATAGGCTTGGCCATTCAGGATGCCTGTGTGCACATCAATTCTGTCCTGAGGGTCTCCCGAGGCCAAATCAATAAAGTCTTCATGTTTGACAAGGTGATATGAACGAGGGGGAGGAACCTACTGATGATTTAAGGTCAGCGTTCATGCCTATGGACGTTGGTGAGAAGGAAGGAATAGACGCTTTTAACCTGGACATATCGGTCTTTATTTACAATTATAAGAAGAGCTTACGTGGTGGATATGGCACTTACTACATGCCAGGCATTGTCCTCAACACTTCACGTGTATTAACTCATGTCATCCTCGTGACTACTCTAAGAGGTAGGCACTGTCGTTACTGTCCTCACATTACAGATGAGGACGCGGAGGGAGAGATGGGGACACGGAGACAAGGCAGGATTGAGAAACCAGGTAGTCTGCCTTCCTGGTCTGTGCTCTTACCCACCGTGCTCCACTAACTCCCACTGTACGTGCGCCTCCAGCCCCGCATACGATGCGGCTCCCAGAGATTTTAGATCAGGTGTCTAGTAACCATCCCATCTCTGAAGCTTGTTTCCAGTAGTCCGCACCTGCCACATGTACATCTCCAGTTCCCCTTTCAGTTTCATGAGGGAGGGGTGGGAGTGGGGGGGTGGGCTTGCCCTCTAGCTCCTGGGTGTTTTTAATCTGCTAGCAACCAGTTTAGAGAAAATCAATGTGATTAACAAATTACCACAGAAGTGCTAGTGAGAATTGATTCCCCATCTCAGGTGTTTTGTATCTTAAGAGCAGAGCACTGAATTACTGCCCCACCCTCCTTCATTCACTATTTCAACAGGCATTTATTGAGCATTTCGTAGAAGGCTGAAAGCTAGGGCTGGGCGGCAAAGATGAGTAACTCATCCACGTTGCCACACAACCAGGCAGGAAGACCCAATTCTATATAAGAAAATAAACTCTGCTGTGAGAATTCTGAGGGAGTGGTGACTTTCAGCCTGGTGCACTCCAGTCCTTCCTTCCATGTTCATTCATGAGCATCGTAAGGAAAGAGCATCGAACCTAAGAGAATGGTCTTTAGTGTCTTGCAGACATGGCTTCGACGATTCCTAGCTGTGTGACCTTAGCAAGTCATTGCACTTCTCTGAGCCTTGGTGTGTTCATGAATAATAATACTGATATTATTTGAACGCAGATAGTATTTGCCTCAAATGATTGTTTGAAGTTTTAAAAAATATATATGTGAAGCACCTGTCGCCATGCCCTGCTCACAGCCACCACTCAGTACGTGAGAGGCGCTGTTCTCATTGCTGGAGCCAATCAAACACTCACCTTGCCAAGCCACTAAGCACACTTTCCAGGCAAAGCAGACCTACTGGTGCCCCCAAAGGGGTCACCCTCTAGTCTCTGCATAGACCCAGAATCAGGGCGTCCCTCTCACGTCAAGACAGAGCCCAGTGCCAATGAGCATCTGACACTTGGTCAGATTCTTTTTGCAGAGGGCTGAAGAAATGAGGCATTTTACTGTTCTTTTGCATTTCATCAGGATATAACATATACATTCAAATTTTTAACCCATTGCCCTTAATTTATTATGCTCTTTTTTTTACAGACAACAGCATCTGACAGAGGTCATTTTTTAAGTGACTGGTAATAAAAATGCCAAGCTTTAGAGTTTAATCTCTGCTTGGCAGAGTTAAGTTTATGCCAAGAAAAACCACTCCCAGCTTAAGCCTTTATCCCTAAGAATAATAACAATATCTGACAATAAATTTATAGTTTACAAAGTATGTGTATATATAGAGGTATAAATCATTGTTACATTATATACGTAATATATATAATATATATATGTAAACATATGTAACATTACGTTTACAAAGTCTTTATACATATACTATAAAGTATACATATATACCATATAAAAATATATATAATATACTATATAAAGTATATATATACTATAAAGTAGCTTATAAAGTGTATATATATGTGTGTGTATATATATATACATATATATATGTAACATTACCTCTTTATATATATATATAAAACATTAATCCTTTTAGCAGCCAGAGCAACCTTGGCGGGTCTAGGTTACATGCATTTTCAGACTGATAAACTGAAGTTCACAGAGTGTAATCAACTGATCCATGTTTCCACACTTGGGAAGTGGCCTGAGAACACAGATTTTCTGATTGCGGAGCTGGTGCCTTTTCCACTGCTCTGTGCTGCTGCTTAGACTTCAACTTAGCACCTTGCAGCACAAGATCTTGGCCACAAGCGAGGGTAGACAGGAGGGTGCACACAAATAGCTTGGTCCAACCCATTGTCTCTGGAGCAAAAGCAGGCCCTTCTTGGGCTCAGGCCCTACTGTGGATGATGCACTAGAAGTTGTATGAAGTTTACTACAAATAAAATCGCTGTGAGAGAAATCGTGATGAAATCAGATTCAGAAAGTGCAAACTGCTGCGCCCCCTCCCCTGGGCCTTCTGGCTGGTCCAGTTTAAAGCTCACCATCCACCAGCTGTGTTCGCTGACTCTCTCCCTCACAGGGCTGCTCCTTTCTGTGTGTCTTTGGTTTCCCGGGGGAAAAGGCACCTGAGGAAGTCACCCGTGCCTTGGAAAGTGCTATGGACATATTCAACTTCTGCTCTGAGGTCCACAAGATCCAGTGAGTGTTGACTCTTATCCCATCTGGTGGTCCCTGACCCTCTTGTCGGCTGTGGGGAGACAGGATGAGCATCAGGGAACGGGAAAGCAGAGAGGGCTGTCCTTGACGGATGCCCTCCTGCCTGCATTCATTATTCACATGATGGACAAGCGGAGTGGGCAAACCTGGCCCTGGCGCCGTAAGGTGAGAGAGGGTAAAGGCAAGCCCGAGAAAGGACACTCCTAAAAAGTCAAAATATACCAGGTCAGCAAGAGAATCTGACTGAGTTGTCGCCCTCGACTTCTGGCTTCCTTCTTGGTAGAGATCGAACTCCCAACACCATGTGCGGGACCTGAGCTGATTTTCAATAACTGGGAGATAAAATGAACCCTGGGGTTGGAATTTTATGTATTGATCTGGCCTTAAAACAACCCACTCACAGTAAAACTGTTAAGAAGGTAGAGTTTACCATCCCCAGCCCTGGCCGCCAAGAGCCCGGTGCCCTCAGGCTTCCTTCTCTTGAGCACCTCGATGACCCAGACCTGCGGCCCTCCTCTGGTCGACCCTAACAGGTATCACCCCCTTGCCCTAAATATTTCCACCTTCTCAGCCTCTGGTCATCAATATATGCAGCCGTCCTCACGTATTAGCAAAGTTAGCTTTTGATGCCACACACGAGTAACTCTCAGTTACTTCCTTTCCAAAGAATGACTTCGTTCTTTCTAGCAATAACAAAGATGGTTAAATTGTTTACAACCACAGTCACTCTACATTCAAAGTCCATTTCAGGTGATGAGAGGTTATCTTCTAGAGAAGTGGTTCAGATGAATACTAAAAATAGAAGAAAAGTACGCTGAGTTATCACTTCTAAGAACTTAGTTCTGTGTCTCAAACTGTCCCCCCTTCATACCTCCACGCCGTGTACCGTTGCCCTAAACTAAGTATGAAGGGAAGAGAATTATTTATTAAAAATCCTCTCCCACCTCTCCCACCCCGTTCATCATCGTGTCCCCACCCCTCCTACTTTCTGTATGCTCATTGTCTTTCTCTCTCTCTCGGCAACTCTCTTTCTCCCCGGGACCAGTACCGTGTCCATCGGCGTGACCAGCGGGATCGTCTTCTGTGGAATTGTCGGACACTCTGTGAGACATGAGTACACAGGTGTGCTGAGCTCGCTTATCTCCGTGTTTCTCTCAGCAAACACTGTGCCTTGCCGCTGGGCTTTGTGGGAGGAAGGACAAAAATAAGTGAGACATGGGCCCTGCCCTCAGAAAGTTAATAGTCTTCTAGATGGAACCAAGCTGTGTAGCTTTGTCCATTGACAGCTCAGTGCTTGCAAAGTGTGCATTTCTGGGGCCATGCATGAGTATAAGAAATATGCAGTTATTAGAGGGGAGCAGTGGAGGCTATGAGCTCGTGAAATGAGGGGCCTTTATGATACTTTCCTGTTAACATTAAACAGTTACTCCTTTTAATTCCTGGAATAGGTAAGGACTGCTTCTTAAAAATTATGAACACTGGTATTACTGATGAATAATACTATTCTCAAAAGAGGATGGTATGTAGGTGTTATCTCAAGATTTCACTGCTCTTACCATTACTTTCCTCTTCAATCCTATTAGGGTTTAAGATGTTCAGAAATAATACATTTAAAATACTGAATCCATCTAAAATACTGAAATAGTTATGTCTGCAATGATACAATGTCTGAGACTTTCTTCAAAATAATACAGGGTGGAGAGTAGATAGGAGTGAGGATGGGGCAGGATTGGCCATGGGTTAATGGCTTTTGGGACTGGGTGATGGGTATACGGAGATTCATGATACTATGATTTATTGCATGGTCAAATTTCTCCATAATAAACAATTTTTTAAAAAGGAATGTCTTGATCAGAAGTATTTAAGTCTATGTTAAAGTGCAGCATTTATTTTTTTATTTTTATTTATTGTATTTTATTTATTTATTTTTTCCCCCAAAGCCCCAGTAGATAGTTGTATGTCATAGTTGCACATCCTTCTAGTTGCTGTATGTGGGACGCGGCTGGACGTCCCACATGAGGACTGGACAAGCAGTGCATCGGTGCGCACCCGGGATCCGAACCCGGGCCGCCAGCAGCGGAGCGCGCGCACTTAACCGCTAAGCCACGGGGCCAGCCCAAAAGTGCAACATTTAACACCTAGTTAGTAGTAATATTCAGGGCTTACTAGCAGCCAGGCACTATTCAAAGTGATGTACGTGTATTAACTCATTAATCTTCTTCAACTACCCTCTGAGATAGGTCATATTATCATCCCTATTTCACAGACTAGGAAACTGAGGCATAGAAGAGTTAAAGTAATTTGCCCAAGTAATTTGGTAACATAGCAGTTACAGGTAGTGTTGGGGTTCAGACCTGCAGAGCTTGCCCTCAGAGTCTGTGCACTATTGCATATTACCCTGTAAAATACCCCCTAAATCAATCTTACACACACACCCCTTCCAGCCCCATCTACTCACTCATAAGAAATCGCCAAATGAAGGTGATTCATTTTGAAAATGAAAATGTTCATGCGCAGGAACATACAGACACAACTTGATGCCTCATTTGGAGGTCAGTGTCCCAGGCCCAAGCTTGTGCTTGTCTGTCTTGTAGCAGCAGACCAACTACGCCTCCTCTGAGAGCCCTCAAGTCTATGGCCTTACGAAACCCACTTACAGAACCCTCTCCTTACACAAGACGTTCTATCTCTGAGCAGATTGTCCCCATGGCCTCCCAGGTGGGGCAGAATCTTTGCTAATGGCTAATTGAGTCATTCCCTGCGTATTTTTTAATAGCCATCGGCTAATATGGGTATTGAAGGCGAGACTTCTGTGTCATTCCTGAGGGGCAAAGGGAGTAAGGGGTAAAAATGCCACCTGGGGACAGTAGGTCTCAGATCACATTCATTTCTCCCTGCTCTTTGCCTTTTTCCTTCCTGTTGCAGTAATCGGTCAAAAAGTCAACATAGCTGCCAGGATGATGATGTACTACCCAGGGATCGTGACCTGTGACTCTGTCACCTACAATGGCAGCAACCTACCAGCCTACTTTTTCAAAGAGCTTCCAAAGAAAGTCATGAAAGGTGTTGCAGATTCTGGACCAGTCTATCAGTGTTTGGGCCTTAAAGAGAAAATGTGAGTGTGGAGTGTTGATTTTGCAGTAGTTTTCAGTAAAGAAGTGGGAGAATTATGATAGCAAAGCAATCAGTCATCCATTTCGGACTCAAAGCCAGTTGATGAAATTGAAATCTATTCCTTCGCCAGACCGAGGCCCAGATTTCAAAATCCTTCATCTTTCTCCTATATCTACTATATCGCCTATAACTACACAGATATTGTCGCATGGTGTAAGATCCCATTCTCCCTCAGTACTGAGAATCTAAGGGTTATTCTTCAAAAGTTGTGCAAACAGAACAGAGAATCCCCTCATTTGAGTATCTTTTTGGACCCAGATGGACTCAGTGACCAAGAATTAAGTATTTACTGATCATACCAACTGTGTGCCAGGCATTGATAAGGCTAAAAGAGTATAAGATATTGTCCCTCCTCTACATCTTTAGTGAAATATATCCCCCCAAAGCCTAGCTTAGATGTATAGCTGTCATTTTGGGCCTTAAAATCCTTCAATGGCTTCTAATCATTTTCATGATCATGTTCTTCTCCTCCTGGGCCCCCTCCTCTGGGATGTCTGAGTAGATTGTCCTCCCTATCACCCACCCCATCCCCAGACTACTGGGAAGACCACAGTCAATCTTTAAAATCCAGCTCGAGGATCTTTTCCTCTATGAGGCTGGCTCTGGAGCTACCAATCCCAACTCAGACAGTTTAGCTCTTTCCTCCTCTTTGTAACTCTACGGCACACGCTCCTATTAGAATACTCACCACACTCATCACAATTACTGACTTGATGTGCTTTTCACTTACTACATTGTGAGCTCTTTGAGGATAGTGACTATTTCTTGCTCTTTCTTATATCTTCAGTGCTTGCACACAGCAGGCTCTCAGTAAGGATGAATAAATGAATGAATAGAATGGAAAGCGGGAAGGTATTATTCTTTATATTAGCAAGCTAGAATCTAGGTCTAAAAGGATCAGATAACAGAATCAGGGCTGCAATTTTTTCAAGGAGTCTTTATTATTCACCTTTGTATTCCCAGGGTTCAACACCGTACTTGGCATGTGTAGACCATCAATAAAGTGCTGTTTGAACAAATGAATGAATAACAATAATTTTTTGTGAACCCTTATTAAATATTAGGCACTTTACCTCAAAATATATAATTTATTCTTAATAGCAGCCATATCAGGTAGAAACGGTTATTATCTCCATTTTATAAATTCAAAAACTGAGACTCAGAGATGTTAAATGACTTGTCCATGGTCATAAATCTGGTGAGCAATGGAGCCAAGGCTGAAAATGTCACAGTAATGCTGCGTTGTAGGCAACCACAAAACCTCAGTGGTAAACAGCAATAAACATCTACTTATCTCACGAATATATGGGGTTCGATTGATCTTGGCTGGATTTGGCTGATCTTGCCTTGGCTTGTTCACATGCCTGGGCTTCAGCAGGTTGTTGGCTGATCCGGGATGACCTCGCGTGGGGTAAGTGGGAATTCTGGCTGACATGACTGGGACAGTTTGGCCCTCTGTGTGTCATCCTCCATCAGGCCAGCCCAGGCATATTGTCATGGCAACATCAGAAGAGCAAGAGAGAGCAAGCCCAATGCACAAACATTTTTCAAGCTTCTGTGTCATGTTTGCTAACATCCCATTGGCCAAAGCAATCATAAGGCTGAGCTCAGAGTGGGAGGCACTGCAAAGTTACATAGAAAAAGGCATAGATACAAGTGGGAGTGCAGAAGTAGGGCCATTAATGCAGTCAATCTACCACAGAAACCCGGGACTATCTGATCCCAAAGCCTGGCCTCTTCATGAGTTTTCTATACCATCTCTGAAAATAAGAAAGTGTAGAAATACACCTGCAAATATGAACAGGGCCTGGTTCCTGCCCTGAAAGTCACAGTCTAATGGGGAAGACCAACATATACAAAATTAGCTATATATTACCCGGGGGACTCTGGTATGTGCTATGACAGAGGCATAACAATGGAGTGTGATGGTATAGACCAGGGAATGATCCATTTTACTAAAAAGGCTTCTTCAAGAGATAATATCATACACTGGGTAAGCGTATGCACCCTGGCCTAGATTTACATATTGACTCTGTCTTTATCCTCTGTCACCACTAGCCATGGGTTCTTGGGTAAGTTAAACTCTGTGTACCTCAATGTCCTCATTTGTAAAATGGACATAATAATAGTATCTTTTAAATAAGGTTTTTGTCAGGAATAAAGGAAATGATCCGTGTAAAGCACTTGAGCAATTGGTGGAATCTTTCCAGGATGTGAGACAGTATACCATATCCAAGTCCACTGGGTCCCATATTGGGTGTCTGGTTTCCCTGGAGAGGGATCAGTTCTATCAATGCAGACTCAACAAGGATTGATTGGACAGTGTACTAGGTGCTGTGTAAAGGATGCTACACAAGTTGTTTGGACTCTCTATTATGAGGTAAGAACTTCTCCTCCCCTCCTTTCCTCTTCTTGGCATCTGCAAGACTTGAGTCAGGGGATAGACTCTTGTTAGAGATTGAAAAGGAGGCTTTCTGGGAATTAAGAACTAGTCACTCCTGCTCTCAGTATTTTCCCATTTTAACTCTAACATCTTGTCTTTTCTTCCTTTCTTCAGCTTGTTTGATATGGCATACCTCAAGTGCAACAGAAATCAGAATTACCTTTTGCTGGGTAGGTAGTGGACCTTGATTTTTAAACTTTTTTGTTTTGTTTTGTTATGTGAGGAAGATCAGCCCTGAGCTAACATCCACTACCAATCTTCCTCTTTTTGCTGAGGCAGATTAGGCCTGAGCTAACACCTGTGCCAATCTTCCTCTATTTTGTATATGGGATGACACCACAGCATGGCTCAATGAGCTGTGGAGAGGTCTGCGCCCGGGATCCGAACCCGCGAACCCCAGACTGCCGAAGTGGAGCAGGCAAACTTAACCACTACATCACCAGGCCAGCCCCTGATTTTTAAACATTTATATAGAACTATAACAAAACATACAGAAAAGTACACCAATGATAAGTCTGCAGCTTAATTAATTATCGTAAATTGAACATAGAATCACCATCCAGGCCAAGAAATAGAAAAGTAGCAGTTCTCCAGGAACCCTCACATGCTTTAAACCTCTCCCTTTCCCCAAAGACTTCTAACACCCCAGTTTACTTAGGCCTGTTTTTAAAATTCATATGGATGAAATCATACATTGTATAATTACATATGCCTTCTTTTAATCAACATTAATTTATGAAATTCATCCATGTTGTTGGGTGTAGCCGTAATTCATTTATTTTCATTGCTATGTAGTATTCTATTTTATAAATATACAACAATTTATCCATCCTGTTGTTGTACAATATTTGAAGTGGTTTCCAGTTTTGGTTCTTATGAATAATGCTGCCATAAAGATTCTCGTACAAGTCTTTTGGTGAACACATGTATACGTTTCTTCTGAGTATATACATAGGAGTAAAATTGTTGGGACAAAGGGTACTATTTTGGTAGATGATGCCAAATAATTTTCCAAAATGGTTGTATTTATTTATAGTCTGACCAACAGTGTTATGAGGGTTCAAGTTGCTCCTTAGCCTTACAAACAACTTAGTTTTATCAGTCTTTATAATTTTAATAATTCTGTTGGATGTATAGCAGTATCTCATTGCAGTTTCCATTTGTGTTTCCCTAATGTGGCTGAGTTCCTTTTTCATGTGTTTATTGGCCATTTGGACATCATCTTTTATAAAGTGTCTGTACAAATCTTTTGCCTATTTTTCAATTGGGTTATATTTTTATCGTATAACTGCTAGAATTATTTATATATTCTGGAAATGAGTCCATTGTCATTTGTTTTTACTGTGCGTAACTTTTCCCGTTCTTTGCTTGCCTTTTTACTCTATTAATGATGTATTCAGTGAAGGAAATTTTTTATTTTAATGTAATCCAATTTATCAATCTTTTCTTTTGTAGTTTGTGCTTTTGTGTACTGTTTAAGAAATCTTTCCTCACCCAAAAGTCGTGAAGATATTTTCCTAGATTCTCTTCTGGAAACTTTCTGTTACCTTTTACATTTAGATGTACGATCCATCTGGCAGTGATGGTTTTGTGATTCTTGGTGATAGGGACCCTATCATAAGAAAGCTAACTCGAGAATAGACAGGGAAGTAGACATAAAATGAGGTAGAGATACACCCTCTGAGGGAAGAGACCCGCATGAAGATTGGCCTGTGGATTCTGAAGGCAGCCATTTCTAGTAACATTGTAATTCCTTCCGTTAGACCTGAACATCTCTAAAAGTATCATTATAAATGAAATCCCGGTCATGACTGTGTTAGGACAATTAAGAGGAGGCTCTGTCCCACACTTCGGGGGAGGCTAGGACAGAATCTTGATGTCAGTAGAGCCTAAAAGAAGGCAACAGTTCCAGAACTGCAAAGAGCACTAGGCAAGCAGTGTGCCCCGCCTTCACTGCACTTGGGTGTTTTTCAGAGTTGGCAAGCAAATCACTTCTAAGTCCAGATCCCCAAACTCCTGAAGGCTAGAGAGAAGAAGGAATGCCCACTCTCACCCTCCTCCGAGGCCTTGCTTTCCATCCTAGGATGTGCTTGTTGTGATAATGGTTGACATTGAGTGGAAGTCCTGACTCCCCTCTACAAGATTGAGGACTCAATATGACAGTCACATTAGAACACATGGGTATAACAAGCATACATTTCTCAGTCTGGTCTGGTTGCCTTTGGCCCTGATTCCACCAGTGTGCGGTAAAGATCAGGCCCTGGGATCTTTCCTCAAAGCCGTAGCCAAAACAGACCATCAGAGGTTAGGAGTATGGAAATGCCCTCCTTCTACAAGATCTCCTATAAATGACATTGTATATGTTAACAACATAGATGACAACAGAACTATAATGAACAGAAAGTGGTTTTTTAGGGTCAAAAATACATGCAAGGCATCAAAAAGAATAAAATACCTAGGAATAAATCTTACCAAGGAGGTGAATGACCTATACAATGAGAACTACAAGTCATTATTGAAAGAAATCGATGATGACATAAAGAAATGGAAAGATATCCCATGCACGTGGATTGGAAGAATAAACATAGTTAAAATGTCTATATTACCTAAAGCAATCTACAGATTCAATGCAATCCCAATCAGAATCCCAATGACATTCTTCACAGAAATAGAAAAAAGAATACTAAAATTTATATGGGGCAAAAAAAGACCCCAAATAGCTAAAGCAATCCTAAGAAAAAAGAACAAAGCAGGAGGCATCACAATCCCTGACTTCAAAACATACTACAAAGCAATAGGAATCAAAACAGCATGGTACTGGTACAAAAACAGACACACAGATCAATGGAACAGAATTGAAAGCCCAGAGATAAAACCACACGTATATGGACAGCTAATTTTCAACAAAGGAGCTAAGAACATACAATGGAGAAAGGAAAGTCTCTTCAATAAATGGTGTTGGGAAAACTGGACAGCCACATGCAAAAGAATGAAAGTGGACCATCTGCTATCGCCATTCACAAAAATTAACTCAAAATGGATCAAAGACTTGAAGGTGAGACCTGAAACTATAAAACTCATGGAAGAAAATATAGGCAACACATTATTTGACATTGGTCATAAAGGAATCTTTTCGGATGACATGCCTACCCAAACTAGGGAAACTAAAGAAAAAATAAACAAGTGGGACTTTATCAGATTAAAGAGCTTCTATAAGACAAACGAAACCAGAATCAAGATGAACAGACAACCCACCAGCTGTGAGAGAATATTTGCAAAACATACATCTGACAAGGGGTTGATCTCCATAATATATAAAGAATTCACACAACTGAACAACAAAAAAACAAACAACCCGATCAAAAAGTGGGGAGAGGAAATGAACAGACACTTCTCCAAAGAAGATATACAGATGGCCAACAGGCACATGAAAAGATGTTCAACATCACTAATCATCAGGGAAATGCAAATCAAAACAACACTAAGATATCACCTCACACCCACTAGAATGGCTCTAATCACCAAGACAAAAAACAACAAGTCTTGGAGAGGATGTGGAGAAACAGGAACCCTCATACACAGCGGGTGGGAATGCAAACTGGTTCAGCCTCTATGGAAAACGGTATGGAGATTCCTCAAAGAATTAAAAATAGTGATGCCCTATGATCCAGCCATCCCACTACTGGGAATCTATCCAACGAACCTGACATCAACAATCCAAAGAGGCTTATGCACCCCTATGTTCATTGCAGCATTATTCACCATAGCAAAGAAGTGGAAGCAACCTAGGTGTCCCTCGACTGACAATTGGATCAAGAAAATGTGGTATATATATACAATGGAATACTACTCAGCCATAAAAAAAGACAAAATCGTCCCATTTGCAACAACATGGATGGGCCTGGAGGGTATTATGTTAAGTGAAGTAAGCCAGAAGGAGAAAGACAAACACCGTATGATCTCACGCATATGCGGAATATAAACCAACACATGGACAGAGAAAACTGTATTGTGGTTACCAGGGGCAACGGGGGTGGGGGTGGGCACAAGGGGTGAAGGGAGTCATATATATGGTGATGGACAAACAAAAATGTACAATCCAAAATTTCACAATGTTAAAAACTATTAAAACATCAATAAAAAAAAATAATACATGCAAGGCAGTCCCAGATATTAGGGCCTTGTTTAGATAGAAACAAGGTGCACGTCTTTCAAGTCAAGTTGACTTAAGCTCATTTTAAAGTCCAGCAAAAAAGACGATCCATAAGCTCTTACGTGTTGTGTGTGTTCTATGTGAATAGAACACAGAGGGCTAGAAGATTCCGCCAGGCAGCCTTCTGGGCCTCATCTTCTGAGTTCATATGTGAGCCTCAGGACGAAGAAGAATACTGCACATCTCAAAAAACTGAAGTTCCAATGCATTTTCAGAAAGGAAATGTTTCGTCCAAAAGCAGCAATACAGTCTGCAAAGTGGTTCTCACTAAATCCTACCCGGGAGTTTACATTACCAAGTAAACACTTAGCTTCTTTGAATATAACATCTCAACTTAGAGCAACGGTCCTGGTTTTCAACAGACGTTAGATAACACCTGGGTGCATTTTACTCTATCCGTGGATATCACAATGGGCCCTCCACAGTGACCTGTCCACCGGAGAAGGAAGAGTCAAGCTCGAATGGGTCTCCAGCTCTTTGACAGACATTGCTCACTCCTTGAAATTACAGTTCTGCTAGTTCCTTGCTGTCCACCCAGGTTTCAAAGACTGTGGGCTGAGTTTCAGATTTCAGGGAGGGCTGAGTTTCAGATTTCAGGGAGGGCATCCTGTTACATATATCTAAAAACACGTAAGAAGAAGCTGGTCCGTGGCATAGTGGTTTAAGTTCAGTGCACTCCACTTCAGTGGCCGGGGTTCTTGGGCCCGGATCCTGGGTACAGACCTACACCACTCATCAGCCATGCGGAGGTGGGGACCCACATACAAAATAGAGGAAGATTGGCACAGATGTTAGCTCAGGGTGAATCTTCCTCAGCAAAAAAAAAAAAAACAAAAAACACAAAAAAAACATAAGAAAAATAACAGGGATAGGGTTGTAACCCAAGGTGACTTTTATTTTCTTCTTTTCCTTCTCTAAGTTTTCCATATTTTCTACAGTGAGCATGTGTGAGTTTTATAATCAGAAAAAACTGTAAGTTACTTTTACTAAGAATTTAGGTTGTTCTTATGATAGAAATTATCTATACATGATTTTTGAAAGCAAATTGAATTTTCTTATCACTGATAATGCTTCTAGTAGCCCTGAGATAAGTATAATTTCTCATTTACAGAAAGCAAGTTGCCCTCACAGAATCAGAAATAAAAATATTTTATCCATAATTGTTCAATATAGGAGCCCTAACTTTAATAAATTTATTTCCTGATATAATAATCTATAGATAACTTCTGGGCCGTTATAGAAAAAAAGGGGAAAAAATGAGCATTAGGGTCAGATAGGCTTGGTTTAACTCCTGGGTGTGGAATCTAAGCAAATCTCAGTTTTCTACACCAACATTGAATGGACATTATAATGAGCATGAAAGAATGCTTTCCCTCATGGCTTGTGGGAATCAAAGAAAACTGTAAAACCACATTGTTAACTGGAAAGCTCTAGAGAAAGATTTAAATAATTTTAAAAATGCACAAGACCTCAAAAAAGTCCATGAAAACTGCCATGGAAATTCCAAAGTTACTCTTAGAAGTGGTATCACTATGTGCTTTTTTGTATCTCTAGACTATTTTATGTTGATTGCGTTTGCTCCCTTTTTAAAAAATAAAAATCACAGGACGTGATAAGGAGATCGAATACTTCATGTGTACTATGAAGGAATTTTTGAAGTGCAACTGCAGCCGAGTCCTAATGTATGAGGGATTATCGGGATATGGAAAAAGCCAGATACTTAAGGAAATTGAGTACCTGGCCCAAGGTGAGAATCACAGGTGAGTGTCTTGCAATGACCATTTCTTGGGAACTCAGAGAATGCTGATATCCTTAAGAGTTTCATTTATTTTAATGCTCCTCTCCTTTATATAATTTGTTGTATATAAACTACTCACAATCTATTGATTATTGGGTGCCATGCCCCTTGTGCTAAATAAATAATGATAAACATAGTGAACTAAGAAAATGAGAAGCTGGGCTGACCCCTGGAGATCCTGATTGAATGCCAGGTGGGGCTTGGATATTAATATTTTAAAGCTTCCTGAGGGCCGGCCCCACGGCTTAGCGGTTAAGTGCGCGCGCTCCGCTGCTGGCGGCCCGGGTTCGGATCCCGGGCGCGCACCGACGCACCGCTTCTCCGGCCATGCTGAGGCTGCGTCCCACATACAGCAACTAGAAAGATGTTCAACTATGACATACAACTATCTACTGGGGCTTTGGGGGGAAAATAAATAAATAAAATCTTAAAAAAATAAAATAAAGCTTCCTGAGTAATCCCATAGTGCAGACAGGTTGAGAACCACCGGCACAGGTGTTGAGACCAAGGCTAGATTGGGTCTGCAGAACAACCACATACATTTATCCAGCTAGCTGACAGAGACTCACTGCTTCAAACCATTCAGCCCTGTGAGAGGGGATAGGGAATGATAGGCCTCTGGCTTTCCTGTGGGAAGCAGATCTAATGTACTTGCCTTATACTGTTTATCTATTTTCGTATAAGGAATGTTATGAGGACTCTCTTTGGGACAACCCTTCCAGCACCCTCGTGGCAGTGGAAAGTGTGATATTCAATAACAGTGATGATGACCAAGATGACACTGACTGTGTCTCATATTCCATCGCCATCTAACCTAAAGGCTTTAAGGAGAAAATGCTTATTAACCTTAGGTTATTTTCAGCTGTATTTCTACTCTGTTTCAATGTGAGGCCCGAGAAAGGCCAGTTTTAAAATATCTTTAACATTGCTAAGGAGATAGTTTATAACAACCAGGAGACATTCATTCATTCATTCATTCCATCACTTATCGAGTACCTACTATGTTCCAGGAAATGTTAAGTGCCGTATTAGTTTGCTAGAGTTGCTGTAACAATGTAGCACAAACTGGATGGCTTAATCAACAGAAATTTATTGTCTCCGAGTACTGGAGGCTAGAAGTCTGAGATCAAGGTGTTGGCAGGGTTGGTTCTTTCTGATGACTGGGAGGGACAGTCTGTTCCATGCCTTTCCCCTGGCTTCTGGTGGCTTGCTGTCAGTTGTTGGTGTTTCTTGGCTTGTAGAAGCATCACCCCAATCTCTGCCTTCATCTTCACATGATGTTCTCCCTGTGTGGTGTTGGTGTCCAAATTTCCCCTTCTTATAAAGATACCAGTCGTATTGGATTAGGGGCCCCCCTACTCCAGTATGACTTCATCTTAATTTACCTAGTTACATCTGTGATGATCCTATTCTCAAAGTCACATTCTGAGGTACTGAGGGCTAAGACTTCAACATATGAATTTTGGGGGGACATGAGTCAACCCATAACAAGTGCCAATACCCTGAAGATGAATAATATCTGATCCCTGCCCTCAAGGAGCTCTCACAGAAGAGGAGAGAGAGAGAACAATAAAAATATAATGTGCTGAGGACAATGATAGAGGCGTGCAATAGAATGTTGTGGGAGCTAAGAGAAAGGGGTATGTAATGCAACCTTGGGGCATCAGGGAAGATTTCCAGGAGGCTACACCTGAGATTTATAGATGAACAGGAAATAAGGGATTAGGATGGACCGTGAGAAGGGATAACATTCCAGGCTGGGGAGACAGCCTAAGCAGAGACATGGAGAGAAGAAACAGCTCTGGGTGTATAGGGAACTCTCACCAGTTTGTTGGTGGTGGAGGGTAGACTGCTGGGCATACAGTGGCAAAAAATGACAAAACGAGGCTTTGGCAAGTCTTGTGTGTCCCATAAAGGAGTCTAGACTTACACCTTCAGGCAGTGGGAGCCACTGAACAATTTTGAATAGGAGAGAAGATTTGCTTCTGTCTGGATCCTGCAGGCTTCTGTGAAGGGGCTGCGTTCAGAGAGTCATAATGCTCGGCAGGGCTAGGAGCTGGGTACTCGGTCACAGAGGTGAGAGTAGGAGGGCCTGGACCAAGGCCGTGGTGGTGGACTAGAGAAGAGGGGATAGCTAGGTTAGGTTATCAGGGGCTGGGAACACAGTGGAGTGAGGGAATGTATCTGAAGCAGGAATAAAGAACAACTTCCAGATAGCTTGGGGAATTTCTTTTATGAGGAATTTTTCTGAATATGAAGAGTCAGAGCTTTCCTTCAACCTTTATTATTTTCAAAAAATATATTTAAAAACCCTCTTCTGATTCTCGACTTTCTTATAAACAGGACTATTGCTATTGCATTGACTAAGATCAACTTCCAGCAAAATTTTTACACCATCCAGATACTGATGTCCAGTGTACTAGGTCTGGATACTTGTAAACATTATAAAGAACAACAGACCAACCTTCAGAATAAAGTCAAGACACTGTTGGATGAAAAGTTCCACTGTCTTCTTAATGACTTTTTCTGTGTCCAGGTAACTAGCTAGTAGTAGACTTCTGCAAGAAATAGTGACGGGGCAAGTGCAGCAACTCCTCCCTGATGCTTTATGACTTAGCATCTCTTTGGCCTTTATCCTTTTCTTTTCTCACCTGGAGCATCCAGGTGGTAAGGAAATGGCTCCCAATCCTCCTTGAAGAGCATCCACCTTCCTGAGACATAGTGGATGTATCTAGAAATACCGTACTCAAGAAAATCCAAATGGCCACATGCAGATTCATTTTTTTTCTCACCTTTCCATCATGGCTATACTAGTCTAGCTAGTCTGGGGCACAAGTCACTCTTCTCCCACAGGTGACTGCCAATGCAGAGACAGAGTGTGCCCCATTCTTTCTTTCTTTCCTATGTCTATTAGATTCAACGACGTAGAGTATTAGAGCTGGAAGGGATGTTATGGATTATCTAACACATGAGGATCTTAAGGCACAGAACAGTAGAGTGATTTGCCCAAAGTCACCCAGCTAGTAGCTCCTTTTGCTATTTTCCCTTACTCAGTATTCTCATAATTCTTTATACAGTTCCCTATTTCACAAGAGGTTTCCAAGATGAGCACCTTGAGAAAGCAAAAGCTGTTGGAATCATTGTTTCTGAAGATCTTGGAGCAGGTAAGAGCATCTGTGAGTCCAGTAAGGGGGGAAGAAAACTGGGCCTCTCACCACAAAGCCAGGGGGCCGGAGGGTTCAGACTCCACTGGCAAAAAGCTTTGAAGCGTATGAAAGCTTTATCCTAAAGTGTTTCATTCCCCTCCATCCTTCCAAACCTTGAGCTAAGAGTCTGTTCAAAAGTTAGCTATACTTGAAAAAGGGTCCCTTAACCTTCCTCCTGGGAGTTTGGCCTCTCCTTAAAACCAGCCCTCGTTTTTTCTCCCTCTGTATGAAATGCAGTATATCAAAGTGGTTACGTATGTAGGCTCTATAGTCAGACTACCAACATTTGAACCCTCAGGCCTATCACTTGCTCCCTGGGTAACCTTGAGCAAGTGACTTCATCTGTCTGTGCTTTTGTTGTCATCCATAACATGGGGAAATGACAGTGCCCAGCTCACTGGGTTGTAAGGTTTAAATGACTAGATTATGTGTAAAATACTTTAGAGCAGTGCCTGTCTCTTTCATCGGAAACACTCAGCCAATGTCACCCCTCTCTCTGAGTAACCTCAGGATTGTCCACTACGTGTGGATGATCACCACGTTTATCCCCATCTCTCTGTTAAGCACCAGAACCATATTTCCAAGAACCTTCTATATATTCCACGTTGATGTAGTAACTCACACTCAGTTCAGCGTCTAATAGTAAATTTATTTAGTTTTTCCTAGTCCAATGCCCTTTCTTTCTCATTCTGATCCTGATCCTTGGTTTAGTCAATGGCAAATTCATTCACGCATCATTTCAAGCTGTCTTTGCTCCCTTCCTCACCAGTTGCCACATCTACTGCATCTACTCGGTTGCCAAGTCCCACTATTTCTCCCTCAGGTGGTCTCTGGAATCTCTCGTCCTCTATTCCAGGCTGTAGTTCAGGTTCTATCTCTTCCTGTACTATTTCCATAGCTTTCCAACTAAACTTTGTGCCTCGGACCTCTCCACTCCAATTCACCTTCCGTATAACTGCAGAGCATATGCAAATCACACCAACCCATGCTTTATACTATCCAAATAATTCCCAATGCTAATGAGATAAAAGCCAAAAGATTTTTTTTTTTGGTGAGGAAGACCAGCCCTGAGCTAACATCTGCCAATCTCCCTCTTTTTGCTGAGGAAGACTGGCCCTGGGCTAACATCTGTGCCCATCTTCCTCCACTGTATATGGGAGGCCGCCACAGCATGGCTCAACCAGCGGTGTGTCGGTGTGCGCCCGGGATCCGAACCTGCGAACCCCAGGCCGCCGCTGCCGAGCACGTGCACTTAACCACTTGCGCCACAGGGCCGGCCCCCAAAAGATTAACCTGGAGAAATGCTACTCGTCCTTCATTGTCACCTCTCTGGTGAGAACTCCCCAAATCACTAGGCGTGACTAATTCCTCTTTCACCGTGCTTCTGTGACACTTTACTGTATTGACCATACTCTATCTACTGCAGTTCATTACTTGTCTGTGTCTCCCCCTCAGGAGAGTGTGAGCTTCTTAAGGACGGGGAGCCTCTTACTCATTTTTGTATCACTGTTGACCAGCAGAGCGTCTGGCCCATTATAAATGATCAATACAAGTTTGTGGCATTGCATTAAAACTGTAACACAACTTCCTCCTTCTCCACTTCAGGCACATAAGCAGGGCAATATTAGTCATTTCTATATGTCAGGCTGTGTTTGCATCACAAGTATCCAGGAAGTTTCTTAAAAAGTATGGATTTATGAGTACTACCTCTAAAGATTCAAAAGGGCTTGGTTGGGCTTAGGAATCTGTTTAGTTGTTTGCTTTTGTTTTAAAACTTTTCAGTTGGTTCTGATGCAAATCTAGTTTGGAAACCGCTATTAAAGCTGTGCTTGCACTGTGCGCCGTGACGATAATCTTTGGATCATTTACTCTCTGTGTGACCTTGGCAAGTGACTTAACCTCTCCGGCAGGTGTTCTCCACTCAGACCCCTCACCCCGCGGAAATGCAAGGTCTGCTGTGTGAGGGGCTGATGCTAACACGGAAGCCCTATATTTTGTTTAATACTGTATCTCCAGCACCTAAAACAGTGCCCGACCTTAGTAGGTGCACAATAAATGCTTAATGAGTGAATGAGTAATTCAGGCTAGTTAGGGAAGCGTAGTCTACACAAGAAAATGGACACGTGATCTGTTTTTAAGTATAACATATACCATAGTTCAAGCTAGAACAGCATAAACTGCCAGCAGGGCAAGGACTAGATCAGATTCCTTGAGCACTGAGTATCCAGCACCTAGCCCAGGGGGGGCTCAGGAAGTGTACGTTGAATATATGTTGGTTGAATAAATGTCAAGCCGATAATCCCAGGAGACCTTCATTTGTGAATAGGTTAAAATGACTTGGAGTAAATATCAGTTATTTTTATGTAATATGTAATGGGTGCTTTTACTTGGCTACGACCCCATGTATCCTACAAATTTCTACTATTTTTACACAAAGATTTGACCAAGTAAGAGTCCATTCTAGCCAGCTCTGTCCAAAATGCCGTAAATTCAAGTTAGTGAAATCTAAATTAATACAAAGTTATTGGAAAGAAAATATTTAATTTAGCACCACAAAACTTAGTGGATACACATGCATACCCATACACATGTATAAAAACCCAAAGGCCTACAGCATTTTTCTTTCTGTTTCTCTACCTTGTCCAGACAGTGAAAGAGGAAAGGATTATTTTCATCATCGATGAGGGCCAGTTTATCGATATGGCCTCCTGGGCTTTTATGGAGAAGCTTGTCCAGACTCTTCCTATCTTCATCATCATGTCCCTGTCTCCCTTCATTGGCTTACCCTGTGCAGCGGCCAGTGCCGTAATGAAGAACAGGAATACCACCTACGTCACCCTCGGAGCCATGCAGCCTAAGGACATCCGGAACAAGGTCTGCCTAGACCTCGGTGTCAGGGGCATCTCCGAAGAACTGGAATCGTGAGTAATCTGTTTCTGTCACAAGGTCTTGACATCTGTGTTCATTCCCCAGATCCAGACTTCATCAGATTCCTTAAGATGTAATGCGCCTACCTCAGTATTCTTGCTGGTCCTGCCTTTCCCAGGGGCCATTCATGGTGCTTGGTAGGATGGATGCTGCTCACCTTTCCCTTGTTATGGCCCCTGTTACGCCTTCTTAAGCTTTGCTTAGTGACATTAGTGTTGTTTCCCTCTCATCGTGCTGGGTATGGGTATACTCACTTCAACCAACAACAACTGACATAGGCAAATGACATGAAAGGCAAACTGGTAAACAGCAAAGACCACAACCTGCAACTAAGCAAGGTGTTACTCAGCTGACACAAAGTTGTCTGGTGCTGGCGTTTCCTGTTGACAGCAGCTGCTGAAGGCTGGATCTCTGGTCAGTGCTTTCTGAGCTTCTCAGCGGTTCCTCTGCTGAGGTCTTCACGGCAGTCCCCTTAACAACATGGACAGAGCCTCTTTAGCTGCTGTTTACAACCCACCTTGGTATCAGCATCTGTTCTTTCTAATGAGGTTGCCTCGCTTCTGGAAGAGAGATGTCTGAACAAAGTCTCATTTAAAGTAACCCCAAGCATGAATTTGGCACGCCCTCTCCCTTTGTCTCTCTGTTTCTTTCTCTCTACGTATATGTATATATGTATATACGTACTATACATATATAATATATATATGTATATAAATATATGTGTGCATTTACTTTTTGATCTAGCAATCCCAATGCTAGGAATCTATCTCAAAAATATGAAGTGACACGTGGACTAAGTTTTTAAAGTGTTTTTTTTTTTTTATTATTTATTTATTTTTCCCCCAAAGCCCCAGTAGATAGTTACATGTCACAGCTGCACATCCCTCCAGCCGCCGCATGTGGGACGCGGCCCCAACATGGCTGGAGAAGCGATGCGTCGGTGCGTGCCCGGGATCCGAACCCGGGCCGCCAGCAGTGGAGTGCGCGCACCCAACCGCTAAGCGACGGGGCCGGCCCTGGACTAAGTTTTAATGAGGCGTTATTTGTATTAGTAGAAGACTGGAAACAGTCTGAGTGGACGTCTCTCTAAGGAGACAGGTGGAATAACTAGGATGCAGCCACACAACGGAACACTGCAGAGCAGGGAGAAGCAGTGAGAAAGATCTGCTGATAAGGACTGATGACCAGGACACATCCTTGGGTGTAAAAACAAGGGGCAGCCTAGTTGGCACTATGTATAACATGCTGTCTTTTATCTAAGAAAGGGGTGAGATGCGGGTGTGTGCATTTGTTTATATTTTTAAAAAGAAACATTGAAAAAATAAAGCAGAAACTTGTTCCAATTGTTACTTAAAAGGTTCAGGAAAGAAAGCAAGACGGAGGATGTACTTCTTATATAGTTTTGGCTTTGGAAAGACATAAATGTCTTACATAATCAAAAAGATGAAAGAAAAAGAAAAAAGCAATCCCTAAAAATGGAAAACAACCCAAGAGAAAGGGAGAATGAGAAGAGGTTATTGTCGAGTGATTGAGAAGACGCAAATATTTTTCCTTCCGAAAATGTGCTTCTTCGATGTAACCAGGTTGCCTTGTTTTGACTACAGGTACCTGGTGGAGGGGAGCTGCGGGATGCCATTCTACTGTGAAGAATTGCTAAAAAACCTCGATCAGCACGGGGTGCTCGTTTTCCAACCAGCGGAATCTGAGGAAAGGACAAATGTGACCTGGAATAACCTGTTCAGTAAGTCCACAGTTGTGGGTCTTTCTCCCTCTGTCTTTCTGCAGAGAGGGTGGCAAGAAGGGGCTGTTCCATGAGCTGCTTCCTATAGGGTGGGAGGGTTTGGGGAGCAGGAATGTTGGACCTGATAGCCCAGACTGTGAGAGAGTTAACATTGCCTGAGACTCACTGAACTGGGTGGTCAACCTGAAAGAACCCTGGGGAATCTGAACGCAAGGTTTCCATGCTGCAGAGACAAACAAGAAGATGAACTTTGAGGTGATGGCACAAGGAGGCCTGTTGGAATTTTTAGGAAAGTAATTTTCGTGAAGGGAGAAGGTGGGGGTTGGAGAACAGGGTAAGGATGCGAGCCGGAATGTAGAGGATGAAGGCTACATGAATGATGAGGAAATGTCTGTGGTGGATATACAGCTTGTTTAGGGAGTGATGAAAAAAAAAATTCATATGCTAGCAAAAAAAAAGAAAAGAAATGAACTATGTCTTGAGATAAAGGAGACCTGTGAAGGTTGATGAGATATCATCTCTTCCATGAAAAGAGAGAGTATAAAGATGTAATCAAAAGAAAATCTTGGCCTTGTAGTCAGGGGTCCAGAGTTCCAGTCCCTCGTATGCTGTTTAATTGCTGGAATTTTGGAACTAGTCACAACCTTTATTGGCAGTTACCTGCTATAAAATGAGGGTACAGGAACTCAAATCCTTTTTCAGTTATTAATTCAACAAACACCTACTGAGCACCATCTGTGTCTGACACCACAGTAGGCACTCTGGGGACCCCTTGGAGTATAAATGAAGTGACTGAATACTATAATACTTTGCTGCCTCATTGGTTTCTTAAACTTTTTGAGATGATTACAAATTTGCGTGCAGTTGTAACAAGTACTGCAGAGAGATTCTTGTACCCTTTACCCAGTTTTCCTCAGTGGTAACATCATGAAAATCTATAGTGTAACACCACAACCAGGATATCGACATTGATACAGTCAAGATATGGAACATTTCCATCACCACAAGGATCCCTCATGTTTCCTTTCTATAGCCACCCCACTTCTCTCCCACCTCTACTTCCTCCTTAACCCCTGGCAATCACTAATCTGTTCTCCATTTCTAGAATTTTGTTGTTTTAAGAATGTCATTTAAATGGAATAATACAGTATGTAATCTTTTGGGTTTGGTTTTTTTCACTCAGCATGACTCAATCTGGAGCTTCTCCAGGTTGTTGTGCGTATCAATAGTGTGTTCCTGTTACTTGCCGAGTAGTATTCCACAGTATAGATGTACCACAGGTTGTTTAACCAATCACCTGCTGAAAGACATCTGGGTTATTCACAACATTTGGCTGTTACAAATAGAGCTGCTATAAGCAGTGTGTGCAGGTTTTTGTGTGAATGTAAATTTTCGTTTCTCTAGAATAAATACCCAGGAGCACAATTGCTGGGGCATATGGTAGTTACAGTGTTACTTAAAAAAAATAAAATGGCTAAATTATTTTCCAAGTGGCTATATCATTTTACATTCCCATCAGCAATATGTGAGTGATCTAGAATTTTCTGCCATCCTTGTTAGCATTTGATGTCACTATTTTTTATTTAAGCCATTCTGATAGGTGTGTGGTGATATCTAATTGTGGTTTTAATTTGCATTTCCCTAATGGCTAATGAAGTTGAACATCTTTTCATGTACTTTTTTGCCATCTGATATCTTCTTTGGTAAAATGTCTCTTCATGCCGTTTGCCCGTTTTCTAATTGGATTTTTTTTTTTAAGTTGAATTTTGAGAGTTCCTTGTCTGTTCTAGATATTGGTCCTCTGTTGGCTATGGGGCTTGCAAACATTTTCTCCCACTCTGTAGCTTGTCTTTTCATTCTCTTCACAAGGTCTTTCAAATTTTTTAAATTTCAATAGAGTTCAATTTATCAATTTTTCCTTTTTTTTTTTTAAAGGGGCTTGGTGCCCCTCCCATTTATTTATTTATTTATTTATTTTATTTTTTTCTCCAAAGCCCCAGTAGATAGTTGTATGTCATAGCTGCACGTCATTCTAGTTGCTGTATGTGGGACGTGGCCTCAGCATGCCTGAGAAGCAGTGCGTTGGCGGGCACCCGGGATCCGAACCCGGGCCACCAGCAGCCGAGCGCGCGCACTTAACTGCTAAGCCACGGGGCCGGCCCTCAAATGATCTATTTTATATTGTATTAATTGTGGTAGCTTATTTCTTCAAGGAATTGGTCCATTTCATCTAAGTTATCAAATTTATGTGTCTAGAATTGTTCATACTGTTCAGTAACTATCCTTTTGATATCTTCAGGGTCTATAGTGCTATCCAGTTTCATTTCTGATATGGGTGATTTCTGCTTTCTCTCTCCCTCTTTCTTTGTTAGTCTTGCTACAGATTTGTCAATTTTCTTGGTCTTTCCAAAGAATCTCCTCTTTGTTTTGTTAATTTGCTCTTTTGTTTTTCTGTTTTCCATTTCATTGATTTCTGCTCTTTTCTTTATTATTTCCTTCCTTCTGCTTGCTTTGAGTTAAATTTGCTGCACCTCCTGTGGTCTTTCCTAGCTGGATTATTGGCAACGTCCATGTCTCTCTCATCCAGGTGAGAGAAAGACACGGAAAGAGAGACTAGGAAATCCTGCCTAGGCCCCATTTCCTCAATATCATTAGTATTCCTTGCAGGACCACTCACCTAGTCCCGCCCGTCATCACTTCTTGATACTCCACTGTTACAGCCTCTTACACAGTCTTCCCTCTCCTATTCTCTTGCCTCTCCTACACGCTGCCCCCAGTGTTACTTTCCTACAGATATCTGGTTAGATTACTACTCTCCCCCTCTTCAGAAACTGTGATGTTTCCCCATTGTCTATGGAATAAAGTCAAACTTCATAGTGTGATGTTCAGTGCCTTCCATGCTCTGCTGCCAAACTCTGTCCAAATACATCTCCCGCAGGAGCACTCCAGCGCTCCGCACACTGTGGTTTAGCTGCCTGGTCTCCCTACAGTCTCCTAATATGCAAAGTGCTCATGACTTTTGTGCCTTTGCATTGATCGCCCCTCTATTTTCCACTTGGAATATCCCTTCATCCTTCAAGGTGCAATCAAAATACTTCCTCCTCCATGAAGCCTTTCAGAATCCACCAAGACTGAATTAATTGTTCTTTCCTCTCTGTTCCCACAACATATCACACTCTGCTCTTTAGCCCTTAAGTCACTCTTCCTGGCATTATGATTAGTTACTTAGATATCTGTCTCCATAGATTTTAAGCTCCTTGAGGGCTGGAAGCATGCATTCTTCACATTTCTAGCCTTCACAAGCTATGGTGCATGAAAAGTCTGTACTGTATTGATATGAACTCTCGACACTTGCTGTTTGTGCCCACTCACATGGCACTCATTCACTGCCTGCCAGCCCAGCTCTTTATGTGCAGACCTCATCTCTCCAGGAGATTAGGAACTTAGTTATGCTGACCTTCATATTTCCACATCACCTGTCACAGTGTCTTGCAACGCAAGTGTTACACGAATGACCAGAGGGATAAATGAGTCATGCATTTTGGAGTATCGGGAGACAAAATTACTAGGCAAGTTTGCTATTCAAACCTCACCATTCTGAGTATCTCTTTCTGATAATAACCATGTCGTAAGTAGAGTACACTCTCCCACAGAATGTGTTTGCATCTGAGTGTGGGTATTTGAACATGCATACAATATATGTCACTATATACCATAAGATACATCCTGATAATCTTTGAATCAAATTTTTGTAAAACTGCATGTACTATGGAAGGCTTCCAATAATTATTACCAATCCTTTTTTTGGGGGGGTGGGGAGTGGAGGCAAAACATTTTTTGTGTAAATTTATATTTTCATATATCAGTTTTACTTAAAACGCAGTATTCCAGGATATCTGAAGAGCCAATACACATCTCTGCCGGCTCTTTCTCACATGAGATCTATCTCAAAGTTTATTGGAAAATCAAGACAATGACAGGACAATGACTCTCAACTTTTCTTCCCTTTTATCTCCCAATAGAGAATTTTGCTAAGCCAATGGAGGAATTAAAAATGTTTACTCTCAGTACTGAGGAGGGAAGTGAAGAAGTCTGTAACCTCGCTAGTGGTGTCAGATTGAAAAACCTGTCACCACCAGCATCATTAAAAGGTAAAGAAAACTTGGCCTGGTGTTCATTTTCTAGGACCCAGACTCCGCTTTTGCTTTCTCTAGGATGACTATCTAAAAAAGGAGAAAGGACGATAGTCACGGGCTGGGGTTGTTGTCTGTTTTCTGTTGGCCCAGGCAGCGGGAAGGCTCCCTGGTAGGCTGAGCTTTTCTGCTTCTAATTAGGAGCCACCTGCCCCCGGTGCGTATTCTGGAGTCTGATTTGAACGAAGTTTTGTTTAATTTCATAAAAGAATGAGGTACAATACATTTTCAATTAAACGTAAGGCAAATAATGAGAGAGAAAATCTAATATTGAAACTCTTTCTGCCTTCTCCTTTTGTAAGAAATGACAAGCAAGGGAATTTGTATCAGAGATATATTATTATTCTTTTAAAGAAAAATGACTTTCAAGCAATGTTCTAGTATGCATTCAGCTCTAACCCATGCCATCTATAAATAACTTCAAATGTTTCGAAGGATGACCTAGGGACACCTCAAGGGTCTCAGTCTTCAAAAAAGCATCATTTGTGTTTCATTCACTACGTCTACTAAAGTAGGAAACTGGACTAGCTTGGCTTCTATAGTGTTCTGTGGGCAAGTTGAGAAGTTCAAATATTGTCCCTGATGAGGGTGCTGTAATGGAAGGACATCCTGGTGAAGGTGTCCAGGAAACCATGTGAGATGTGACACTCGAGCTTAGATAAAGAGTTGGGATTGGAGTAGGAACTTCCTGACGCTTTCTCATGAGCATAGAGATGGCAGTGGGTTGTCACAAGAATAAACGAATCTCTGGGGAAGATAGAGAGAAGCCTTATTGCTAAGACGTCCCAGGAGAAAGAGTAGCCAGTGAAGAAGATAGAGTAGGACCAGCTGGAGAAGTCAACTCAGAACATGGATGGCAGGCCCTGCCCTTTCTGACTGCTGTGGCCCACAATGACCTCTCCTCTCCTCACAAACCCTTGTCACACTTTAACACAAAATCAGAACACCTTGAAATTGACCAAATGTTTGTCTGGCCATTGTGCCATTTGCATTTTTATATTATAGTGCCTTTTATTTTTTTTATTTTTATTTATTTATTTTTTTTTTGTGCATTTTTAGATCATAGCGTTTGCATTTTTGTATTCCCAGCACAAGTGCTATCTGTGAAGTAGGTACTAAGCAAATACTTCTTTTGGCTTAGCTTGGCTGGGGTTCTGTGAACTGGAACTGTAGAGCAGGACAGTTGTCCATCTCTAGAATGTATTTGATAAAAGACAGATGACTAGTTCACTATTGTGTGACTTTCCACCTGCAGAAATCTCTCTGGTTCAACTGGATAGCATGAGCCCTTCCCACCAGATGTTGGTGAGATGTGCTGCCATTATTGGCCTGACCTTCACTACAGAGTTGTTGTTTGAGATTCTCCCTTGTTGGAACATGAAGATGATGATCAAGGCTCTGGCAACTCTAGTGGAATCCAACATCTTTGATTGTTTCCGGAATGGCAAGGAGCTCCGAATGGCTCTAAAACAGAACGCGGCCTCGTTTGTGGTGAATTACCGCTCCCTGTCTCTGAAGCCCAGTGAAGGAATGGGTGAGTGGAGCCTGGAAGTGACCCATATTTCCTGTTAGTTAAAGGCACAGCTAGATCAAAGAACTGATCTCAGTTCGGTAGCAGGAGCTGATTCGTTGCCCACTGCCTGGCTGAAAAACCCTTTCTGTTCTCTCTAGCTCACGGTGAGGAGGAAGAGCTTCGTGAACTGGAAAGCGAGGTGATCGAGTGCCACATCATTCGATTCTGCAGGCCCATGATGCAGAAAACAGCCTATGAGCTGTGGCTGAAGGACCAGAAGAAAGCCATGCACTTGAAATGTGCCTGCTTTTTAGAAGAAAATGCTCACAGATGTGACCACTGCCAAGGTGGTGACTTCATTCCCTATCACCACTTCGCCGTGGACATTCGGCTCAACACTTTGGACTTGGATACCATTAGGAAGATGGCGAAGACCCATGGACATCAAAGTAAGCTTACTTTATTCCTAATTAGTCCTAACTATTCCTGGGGAATGTGGAGACTAAGACCTAGAAGGAGTGAGTCTGGGCCTGGAGGATTTCAAGTCCCCTGAGGCTGGGCACAAGAAATGATGAGACCTCAGCAGCACAGGTCACTGGGGCAGAGAAGAGTTGGGGAATGCATGTGTAGATGAGTCTAGCAGAACCAGTCTCACTGTGAGACTGTCAGGGAGGATGTGGGGATAAGAACTCTGGCAAAATGGAATGTGAACGGAGCTCAAATTAAAATGCCCAAAGGGATAAAACAGACCCAGCTTAATTCACACCAAGGGGTGGAATCCAGGCGGGTGGGCTCTTCCGTGAGGTGGAAGCAGGAGCAAGATCTACGAGGGAGTGGTATTTCTCAGCAGATAAGAATGTTGTTGCTTTGTCAGACTAGTTTGAAACAAGTTTCCAGCGGAAAAAGAATATGAGTGGGAGAGAATTATGCAGGGCTAAGCAGGTCAGAGCCCCAGAAAAGAGGACCCGGGTTCAGGGCAGGGATTCAAGGCCATCTGTGAAGCAAAAGCGAAAAAGTTACAAAGTGATAGCACAAATGAGCCACGTGATCTGGGAAACCATGGTAGAGGATTCAAGGGGCACAAGGGACCAGGGACTCAGCTACTGCAGGCATGACGGATGGGAGACTCAGGGCAGCAACACCAATTCCAGCCCTCACTGTGGGTGGCCAGGGAGCACCCAATGGGCCACCTGCCCTCGTCAAAGGCCTCAGTGACTATGGCTAAATCTGGTTGGGAAAGCAGAGGCTACAAGTAGAGGATTTCTGTATTATAGGGATATTAAAAATTGGGAAGAAAAGTATGCAAAGTGCCTAGCACATAGTAGGTACAAAATAAAATTTATTCTCATTCGTCCTCTATTTTACACGCATTCTTATTTGATTCTCATATCACCCCTCCAAGTTGGAGGGTTATTTTCATTTTATACACCAGAAAATTGAGTTTTTGGAACATTAAATAACTTGTCCAATGCCACAGAATGAGTGCTAGACTTTATTCAATCCCAGGTCAATAATTCTCAAGGTCATGCTGTGTCCATACACCTGAGCTTCCCAAAGTGCAGAGTTGGACTTCTCGGTAATATAGGCCAAGTTGATTAGAAGAAGTTCATGGCTACAGCATCAGGGGTGAGTCAGAGAGCGAGGAAGGTGATTCCTTTCAATTCTCTTTCAATACCTGATCAAGGAGAAAGCAGCTTTGCTCTCTGGTACAAGCCTATTGTTGACCCTGAATACTAACATTTGCCAATCTCCCTTTTCAAAAAAGAGAAATCAGGCTTTAGGTTCAGAGCCTTAGAGTCTGGACCATGAGGGTTTTAAGTCTCCTGAGGGCTTGGGCACAAAGATGATGAGACTGCAGCAGTAGTCTCATCCCATTGGGGCAGGGAATATGTCAGGGCAATGTACGTGTAGCTGAGTCTAGTGTTTATTCTTAGCATCGATTACATTTCCCCTCGTGCATTATATTTTTCCAAAATTGGAAATGTTTTATTATTATTATTATTATAAAAGTAGTATGTGTGTAAGATGATGTTGAACTTGAAATTTGTACCAAACACCAGCATACAAGGGATGCTGCAATCCAAAGTGAGGTAAGGATGGACATACAGAATTTACAAAGGAAATAGCTGAGGGTCAGTTATCGTCTTGGATCCCTCTTCCAGATCCAAGACATAAAAGCGAGGACAGTGTGGAGAGGGCCAGGGTTTGTAAAGAGATTTCTTTGGTGGGAACCGATGAGGTTCTATGTCCCTCCCCAGGCTGGTGTCTTCCTTGGAATTGGTTAGAGGACACAGAAGACTGGGGCCTACCTCACACCTAAGAAGGCTCGAGTGGCCTGTGGCTGCACTGGGACCAACCTGCCCTCCCAGAGTTTGGGAAAGGATGTGGGAGGGTTTCCCGTGGATCAGACGTAACTCACCTGGGAGAAAAAGCCAGACTGGAGGCATTTTAAGCCCTTCCCAAGAGTACCCCTGGGCGTGTGAGAAGACCCCTAAACCCCTGGAATAGATCAAGACTCAAAAGTATTACAGTTTTTAAGAGGAACGTGAGGATTGAGAGAGAGTGAACCACTAGAACAAAACAGGTGCTAAGAGG